CTCGCGCTGTTACGGGTGCGAGGAGTGCTGAAGGGGGGCGAGTCACCCGTACGCTCCCACCAGACACGGCGCACTCGCACATACATCACCACAGCCCATACACTCTGGACCAGGAAGACGGCACACACGAACAGCGCTCAGAGCGCGGGGCCGACCGTCAACGCCGACCAGCGCCCGAACAGCGCGCTCAACTGCGGCGCAGTGCGCTGCCCGAGCCATAGGTGGAGGTTCCTATTCGATTGGGGGCTACAGTTCCCCCCCCCCCCCCCGGGCAACTCTGAGAGGAGAGGGCCAATTTACGAGAGAATCATCCGTTGGCGCATTTTGAAGGCAGGCTCGATCACTAACTGCTCAGCGCGCACTTCCACCACAACTTATGTTGCGAACCTCCGCCCCTGGCTGGCGCCATCCCGACAACCGCAAGCTGCCGAGCTGCTGATCTCGCAGCGTTCTCACCCGGAGGCGGCGGGCGGCGAGCCGTGCGGCCAGGCGCGGCCGGCGCCCTCCTGCTGCGGCGACGGACTGCGCCGGTAGCGGACACACTGCGAGAGCCGCGCTCCGTCACTACCGGCCGCGCGCGCCCGCTCCCGGTCCTGCTTCACCTCCTGATGACGGACGGCGGGCGGTCGTGTCAGGGGCGGACGGCCGCAGGCGGCGGCGCCAGGGGCGGACAGAGGCAGCAGGTGGCGGTGTCAGGGGCGGACAGGGCAGCAGGTGGCGGTGTCAAGGACGGGCAGGGCAGCCGGCGGCCGTGTCAGGGGCGGACAGGGCAGCAGGCGGCCGTGTTAGGGGCGGACAGGGCAGCAGGCGGCCGTGTTAGGGGCGGACAGGGCAGCCGGCGGCCGTGTCAGGGGCGGACAGGGCAGCAGGCGGCCGTGTTAGGGGCGGACAGGGCAGCAGGCGGCCGTGTCAGAGGCGGACAGGGCGGTAGGCGGCCGTGTCAGGGGCGGACAGGACGGTAGGTGGCCGTGCCAGGGGCGGACAGGGCGGTAGGCGGCCGTGTCAGGGGCGGACAGAGTGACGCGCTGGCCTCTCGGCATAGGGACAGCGCCGTTCAGTGCCCACCGCCGGCAGCTTTCGCCGGCTCCGGTGTGCACTAGGATGTCACGGCGCTAGTGTTTTCAGCAGCAAAGTGCGTCAAGGAATATCCTAGCGTGGCAGGTACAAAAACACGGGATCCCCTGGGCCGTACCACCCGTATGGGTGAAAGGACGCACAAAGCCAACACTGTCCTCGCTGTAGCAAGGGCAATATTGAAGAGTTCGGCACAACTGCAGAATGGGCCCGGCCGTTCCCGTAATACTATTTTTGAGGGTGACCATTCTTCTCGTGCAATGCCAACTGGTCAAAGACAGTCGGCCTGTGACATAGTGAAACAAAATGTCAGTTCTAAACACGCAAACCACTGGTGCAGACCGACCAGAATTACTTATTGTTAGGAGTCAAGACATTGGCACACTTGTTCCCAAATCCAAATCATTACGACCCCCATTTATTTCCGGTATTTCTAACCAATCATCCCCCAACACATCAGATTCCAAATAATTCCCAGCTTCGTCTATAAGCAGTGTGCGATCCCTCTCTAACCGGATGGATGTATATACCTTCTCGCGCTGCTCTCGAAGCTGGTTTTGCTCGCGGATCTTCCGGATCTTGGCGTCCAGCGCCGCCTCGGCGTCCTTCTGAGAGTAATCATACAGAAAGTGAGGACCTCTGTCGGTATTCTTAACGCGCGTCGTGTTGGATGCTTTGCATGATGGGACATAATATATACCGAAATAATGACGATAGCAGAGATGACATAACAATAACGAGAAATTGGTATGTCAAAAAATGATATAACTGCAGAACAAATCATCCTATGATTCAAGTGCATCAAGTTGTCATGTACGCACAAGTCAAACCAAGTCAAATCATGTACCATAAATGTCAAACGTTTCTGAGCGCATCTACTTGAAAAACTTACATCGACGGCTAGCCTGGACTGACCGCAGAAACACTGGAGAACCACAGCAATATGAGCAGCAATGGCTGATGATGGCACAGAGCTTACCTCTCGAACTTTTGCCATGTGCATAGTGTTCGTTCTTCTTTATTTATATGGTAAATTTCTGAAACATATTCCTGATTGTTCACCACCCCAAGTGGCTGTACCAGGGACATGACAATTATAGCACATATAGCATGTCTAAACAGTGCTGTCCAGATAAGAGTGATGTTATATCCAAACAGTGTCTGTCATGATCAAGTGTACATTTTGTGAATCAACTGCCCAGTTATGTTGATACCTAAAACAGGGTGTTAGTTGGGTGAACAATAGATTTACAAGCTTTGCGAGCCAATGGTGGAACTGGTATGAATAGACACAAAGGACAGAGTTTGATCATTTGTGGTAAAATACACCATACAGGAGCCAGTACAGTTCCTTGTCCAGCATGGATTCTCTTGGTTCAGGCCACAGCGACCTGCATTCAAGACCATTTTCCAAAAATGTGATGTAGGTCTCTTCCTGGTGGATTACTGGCACACCCATGGGTGGAACAGTGCTGAGACCCTGTTGTGGACTGTGACTTGCTCATTTGCTGCATCCGAATCCCCAGAGAGGTCGCGGGAGCATGTGATCATCCGCACACATCAAATCACACTTTTGCCTACCAGATTTTATTGTCAACTTTCTTGTTGGTCAGATTGTGCTAGTCTCATGTTTTCTAAAGATCTGAAGCCAGTCTGGCTCTGCATTCATCAGGTTTTATGCAGTTAAACAATCTTACATGTTCATGGTAACCTAATGGGGATCAATGAAATTGTGGTGATATTGAATCTCACAGCAAAGCCCCTCTCCTCCTGAGCAAACAGCTCGCATGATATGCCTACCAGTACCAACCCACACATGATTTTTAAAGAATGTGTTCATTGTCTCCGAAAGCTGCATGAGCCTGTGATCAACATCTCTCCAATATTAGGCTCTAGAGGACGTGATCAACAGGCAAGGGATGATTACAAAAGTTGACAATTTTCTTACATGCAAGTAAGACCCATTTGGTTTCCAATTGCCTCCCTTACAACAAAAAATTAGAACAGGGTGATATCATCCTTAACATTATCCAAAGTGAGTGGGGAAGGTGTCAGTGCACCACCGTCATCTGACCAGTCTGCTCTTGTCAACCAAATCTCTATCATATAATCTTATCAATTAATCATAACCACCTAATTTCACAGCTAATGAGTGCATGAATCCCAGGAAGTTAAACAGATGCAGACCATTACCATTGTGACTCATGGTTTTGTCAGTTCACTGCAGTTCTCAAATGCATTATGATTTTATGCACCCAACACTTACAAACAAGCTTGCAGCTAACAACACACAGATATTGAAGGCCACATTTAAAGTCAGCGGCTTTACATTTTTTTTTACATTAAGCTGAATCTGTAGCCAGTCATTTCAAAATTTGCATACATAAAGTGTGTGTGTGGAACACTACACACAAAACTTTTAAGTGAAGAACCATTATGAAAACTGCCATAAAAACATCCAAAACATCAAAACTCTGCTCCAATGACACTGCTTCTGCAGATAGAAAAATTTGGAAAAGTTTGTGTGAATGGTGGGGATAGGTGGTTGATAAAACAATGATGGGTATGAAAGAGCCATGCTCCAAAGCAAGAAAGTTATAAGCAGACAAGGAATGTTGCATTACTGGAAGAGACAGTGCATTGGTTCAATGCAGGCAAACAATGGGTGCTGTTTGACTGGTGCACAAAAATGCCTGCCCACTATGACCTTAAAGCCTTAAGACATTTGACTGGTCACATCACAGCTGCATGTACCACAGGCCCTCTTCAATCAGATGCTATCACATGCAGTCTGTGATGGTCTGATGAGGATGGACCCAAAATGGACACCATAGGCCAAGTTCCAGCTAGTATGAAAAAGTTTGAAGGGCATGTGTGGACAGCCCCAAAGCAGTGCTATACATTGGCTGAACATACATAACCACCTGTGCCCTACAAACACAACTGCCTGAGCCCTACATTGGCTGAATGAGAACTACCCATGATGTGATGCCTGTAGGTCACCCTGCTGATTCTGCTTTTTCTGTTATCATTGGTGTTCATAATCATCAGTGCTTTTCTGATAGCAATACATGAGCACAAGTTTCAATTATCACCTTACCCACTAAGAGGACATGACAGAGTGTAGTTATGCCTATCCCATGTGGTAACATGAATGGGGATAAATGTAATGATTTATGTAATACTCTGACAGTGTATGTTTTTATGGTGCTTATGTCCCTGGAGCAGCCCAGGCAGCAGTCATTTGAACAGTCTTAGTAGATGTATCAATGTTCCCTGATGTGACACATCCATGTCTTAGAAACACACAGCCTGGAGTAATCTAGGGCTTAAACTACACAGGTTGGCATGGAGAGATAAAGAGCCATGCACAAGCTCGGATGCTAGATAAGCAGATCAATTGGAATAAATCAGTGAGATGCAATTTGGGACTTGCAACAGCGGATTACGGATAACTGGTTGCCGGCGGTACATCCAAAGGGGTAGGTAGCTAAATGCCTGCACAATTATAATTACAGCCTTAAATGAGCAAAATCAACCGCACCTCGACGAATCGAAGTCCAACTCCACCTACCTAACCCGATTTTCCAAACAATCGCCTGCTTTCCCGCTCTCGCTGCACGCCGACGCCGACGGACGCTTCGTAATTGTCACACAACGAGTAACCTGCGCCATAAGTGTCTGAAAAATACGCTTCGTCTTCCGGTGCTTAGCGACCCTACCTGGATTTTGTTTCCTGCTTGTATATCATTAATAAACCAATACATAAACTGATTCAAGCCCAAATTAATTTAGTTTAATCAATTTTTTTTTGAAAAATATTAACCATTATTTCATTTTAAAACACTTATATCACTTTTAGAAACTCTTTCAAGAAGTATAAGTACAAATAGTTAAACAGAATTACATCAAGGCCGCAGCTTTTACCGGCGGTCTGCAATCGCTGTGTGGAGAGCCGCGCTTTTTTTGGCGTTGTTTCGTAATGACGTTCTATCATTTTATTAACTGTTTTGCTTTGGCATATGTGCCACACTTTTTCACGTATAAATATTCAAAGCTGTAAGTATAGTCAGCGTGCAGCAGAGACTTGTTTTGGAGAATGGGAAGTGGCACCCAGTTTGTGATGACATTTTGAGGTTTGGGTGTGCGGTGACTGAATGATTAAGGTCATGTAGTGTCTTTAAAGCCAGGATTTGTAAGCATACCTCGGCAACCATTACACTCACACATCAGCATTACCTAGTGTTGCAGCTCTTCCTTATTTTGTGGTTTGTTCCGAATGCATTTGCATAGATGCCTTTGGATTCAGAGAGCCTTCCAAGAAAAAATGGTGTAGGTGTACTTTGCTGCCTAATGCTAGATAAAATCATTGTGCACCATTTGTTGTGTTTAAGGTGAAACATATCGTAAATAATCTCAAAGCAGGTAGAATCATGCTCCTACCTTCAAATTTTAATAAATATGATAGCGAGCTCCCTAGCGCCGCACGCACCACACCGCCTCGACTCCCCAGTGCCGTTTCTGCATTGTTTTATAATTACAATATTTCTGCTTATCAAGAACCATGAAAAGTGTAGGGGACCAAGGTAACAATAATAATGCAATGAAAATTGTTTCTTATCGCGTTTAGGTACGCTTATGAAACACACAGGCCAGAATAGTCCAGAACACAGCCTAAACTAGCCTGAACTTGTCTGACCTAACCTAACCTAACCTAACCTAACCTAACCTAACCTAACTTAACCTAACCTAACCTCCCCACCCTACATCCCCTTCAACCCAGCATCCCATTGGCATCCATGTTCCATGCCATATATAGGTACCCTATAGTGAGCTTTTATTTAGCCACCATATTCTCATTTTGCTTTACATTCCCCACCTATCCCTCTGCAACCCATCATCTGGTTGGCATTGAGGATCAAATTTCATGGATTCTTGTTACCGTGGCCTGGTACATTTTTATGGTTCTTGGTGCTGCTTGATGCGCAGTAATGTTGTGACCACTCGCAGTAATGGTGCCAGTGTCACGGCTGCTGTGTGTTTGCAGCGGTCAGATGTTTGGTGTCATAATTAGTTAAGTTCCAAGGTAAGAGTGTAGATGACCTGTTTTACAATTAATTATGATATGTTTTGCCTTAAAAACAATGATTGATGTACAATGCTCTTTTGCAACAGGAGGTAGGAAAGTACGCCCTGACCGGAAAGCTGGCTTCATATCCACTTAACCTGCCTCTGAAGTTTTGTGACCATAATCAGTATATAGTTTCATCTTGGCTATTTCACCTGGCTGGACTGCAGAAAGTTTGGCATGCAATGTTATGATGCTAAACCTGGGTTCACCCTTATTGGCCAGTTGCATGCTGATAATTTCATGTTATTTATGCCAGTTGAAGCACTGACTCTGGAGCCTGTACTCACAATCACTGTGTGGGGAGAATAGTATCTCTTCTGCAGACCACAGAGGCATGCTGGTAGCATTTGGTTATACAATGCCTTGAAGAATGCCCCATGCCCTTATGTTTGGCTCAGATTATGTGGAAGATATCACAGTAAGGGTGGTGAGATTCAAAGAGAATATTTTACCATTGTTTTAATGTATTTTAGAGACCAAAATATCGTAACTTATGTAACATCTTTACAATAAGATATTCTGTGTTTCAGCTCAGAGTATGGAGCATTTTGGAAATGTGTTCAAGCAGGCTCAACATATGTGTTTGTCCAGCTGTGCAAGATGGTCCTTCTGGCTACATTCTTTCCTGCTGCAGAAAGCACATCTGAGCAGGGAGTGGACTTCATAGCAGTAAGTGTGACAGCTGTGTGTTGTCTCATAGTATATGTTAGGCATGGATTGGGTCCAAAGGTATCCAACTGGCTCGTCACCTTCATCTGATGAGTCTGGCTCCATGCTCTTAACCAAATATGTTAGAACTATGGAAATCCACGAGTCAGATCCATCTAATTATGAAAACTAAAGTTTTAGGTCTGATGGAGCTTGAGCCAGCTTAATGCAGATTCCAGTCTCCGTGGCAGCCCACAGCTAGTGATCGAGGATGGTACCTGTGATCACACAGTGTGAGAAGGCCAGTGCGGTCCCTGCTCCACTGGCGTGGATAGCCAGCCTCGCGGGGCGACCGCCGCCGCCGTCGCCTGCAACAAGGAAGCCGGGCCAGGCCAACAGTGTGCGCTAGTTACCGCCGGGCCTCAGCGTTCCAGAGACGGCAGGGGCGGTGCGCCACTCCCGCCGCCCGGCCGCAGTGCGCTGCCTTTGCCGAGGCGGGTGGGTCGGCGGCCGGCGGCGTCCCGAGCGGCGGGGACTGGGCGGTCATGGAACGGCCGGATGGAAGGCAGCATAAGCCGCGGAGCCTGGCCGGCAGGCTCTGCCCCAGCGGCCAGGTCAGGATGGTACCTCTCCGCTTGGCTCGGTCCTCGCCGCCCTGCAGCAGCCTGATCTTAGCGACGAGGCTGTCGTGATCAGCACCGACAGCTGGTGGGCGCTGGCGGTGCTCTGTGGGAGGGGGGGGATGCAGACCTTCGTGCAGAGTCATCCCGCTGGAAGGTGCGGCATCGCCCGCAGGTAACGGTCGCTGAGTCCACTTCCATTGGGCGCTGTCGCACTGCGACCTGCCCGGCAGTGAATGACAGAGCCGACTCCCGGGCCATGGAGAGGTCGGCTTCCTGAAGCGACGCCACGGCCGATGCCTGCGTCATCCGCCGCGCTGCGGCCAGGGCGGCGAGAGTCCAGAGCATCAGGGGCTGGCCAGCCGGATCGGCCTGAAGCCGTCCCGGGACTGCCAGCGGTGTGGCAGCCCCAGCTGCCGGGCTAATGCTCCATCCACCGGGAGGAGGTGACACCCAGAGACATGCGCTCCGTCGGTGTCCGGTCCTCAGGGGTCACCGACATCATCTGCCGGGACGATCTGCACGAGCATGGAGGTGTCGAGCGGCAGTGGGGTGGCGCCCCTGGCGGCCGCCGCCGTCTCCCCAGAGCCGGCCGGCTACGCCTACATGGGCGGTGGGGGGGGGGGGGGGGGGGGGGCAACTACGCAACAACGACAACCAGCATACCCCGAAGCCGAGTGGCCTTCTGCCGGGAACTCCGGCAGCCCCTGGCCCCGCAGGGGAACGTGGCCGTCAGTTGTGGGCGCTGGTGGACCTTAGCAGCCGGGCGCTCCAGACGGCCAAGCAGGCAGCGGCCGTCTCTGAGATGAGAGATGGCAAACCGCCGTCGCGTGGTGGCCGGCGAGGCTAGCAGTTCGCCGTTTTGGCCGCCGAGCTGTGAGGCATTCTACGTGTGGTCCCCGCCGCCGGGTATCGGCAAGCTGTGGTGCCATCTGTCGCCGGCGGCCGGTACTGTAGGTTTAATTTTCGTCCCAGAATCTGGCCAGACTAAACCCATGCCTGCCGGTATCCCACCCGGACAAGTTGCTTTGTGCTTACCGGTATTGGTTGGAAACACACAGACTCGGTTGAAAGAGTTGCTTTTGCTGCAATCAGATAAACACCAAAGTCATGCCGACCACTTAAACAGTACTGCTCTAAACTAAATAACTATCTTGTTCAAAATGCGTACAACCCACTAGCCATGTAAGACGTGCGAGTCACCAACAAGTTCTCCGGCGCCGACAGGAGCTTCTGAAGACCTCGGTCGACATCGGCGATCTACTCGGCATTCACCTGGTGATGTCCCGGGTGGCAGCCCGGGGCGATGTCAAGGTCAGACGCCGAAGGGAACATGACGCCATCGTGCCTGCCATGTTTTGCCGGACCCCTCTCCGGGTCAGATGTTTGGTGGTTAGCTTGGTGTCGAGAGGTGTCGATTTGAGAGGCGCCGTGGTGGTGCTCTGTAGGAAAAGGCTTTGCGGAACTGCTGAGCTAAATTCAAAGTTTTTTGTGATCGTATAGTGGCGGAAGTGGTGCCAAGAATGTTTTGTCTTAGCCAGCCAGCCATTTATGCCCTGTTGGGTTGAGTTGTTTCTGTATTATGCAGCATGAAGTTTCGTTTGTGGGTGCAGGAGAGTCACAGACAATGGGATTGCTGTATTTGCTTGCTGTTACTTTTTATATGTTACGGTAGATGCGCATCAAAGGTACATCCCTGCGCCCCATCCTTCAAGACCTAGCTGTATTTTTTTCTTTTTTAGCACCCTAGATGGACTCGTGACAAAACGTAAACAGGAGCCTATATTTTAGATAGAACGAGTCAGTGAGCTGTATCTCCATGCAGCAGATATCTAAACACGTCGGATTTCGCTGCTCTTCGGTCTTGTTATGGGCTACCCTGGCGGCGCTGCACGCGGCCGTTACTCGTGACAGCGGTCTCCATGCTCGGCTCACGCCGTGTTAGTGTTTCTCTGCTCTCTCTGTCTGAGTATAGTGAGTGATAAGAGTGTAGTGAGTATAGGGTGTAAGAGTGCAGTGACAATACTGTCAACGACCGTTCGGGTGCTGCGCCTGTTGCCAGGTGTTGGTGGCTGGTGTCGGCTGGGCGACGGCTGAGCTGCTGCTGACCCGTGTGCTGCCGCTCTGGGTCGGCGCGCGCGGCATTGAGTTCAGCTGGCGCTACCTGCAGATGAGTCTGGACGCCAACATCAGCCTCGTACGTCGCAAGGGAGGCCACGCTGAGAGACGGAGCTAGTGCGAGCCGAACCCAGCTGGTTGTCGCCGAGCTGGTGGTCAATTTTCGGGATCGGTCAGCCTGCTGTTTAATCTGTGGATTATTCCACTTACGGACTGAGACGTGTAGGGAATACTTTTTCACTATGGGTGCCCTTTTATTAAACGGCTAGAACGTTTAGGTGGAATTTTGTCAAAGTACGAGCAATGTTGTTAGGTGGCCCGATTCTCAAGGACACGGCTGGGATATCCCGCGACGTTGCCCGCCCGTAGGATCCCGTGAATTCCGATGCCCGCGAGATTCCCGTGACATCGCTGTCCACGAGATCCCGTGGATTCCCCTCCCCGCGAGACTCCCGTGACGCTCCGCCCACGAGATCCTGTGTAGTATCCTGCCCGCGAGATTTCCGTGACGTCCCTCCCGGCGAGATCCCCGATGACGGTCATTGCCGCCGCCGGTTCGGTGACGGTCGTCGCCGCCGCCAGGTACACCACCTGTCCGTGTCGGCGCTGGTCTGGCTGTGGTCTCGGCACGACCTGGCGCGCTCGTTCCTGCCGCTGGTGGCCGCCCTGCTGGTGGTGTCGGTGCTGCAGCCGCCTCTGCTGCACCTGGCCGCTGCTGCCGGACTGGCGCCCTCCCTCCGGCTGCTGGCGCGCGCCGCCATGGAGACGGTCGTGGCCGCCGTCACACTGCAGCTGTTCTCCGGCTTGCTGCGCCAGGCATAGAGCGCGACGGTGGCGCCTCTGGTGGCGGCCCGACGCGGCGGGAGCTCTGTGGGCGACGGTGGCGCCTCTGGCGGCGTTTTGCCGCGTGACGCGTGATGCGCGACAGGTCGTCTGTGTGATGCGGTCCTTTAATGGCACTGCCCCTTGATGTGACCTGTCAGTGTCGTGCCATCGTCGCAGTTGGGGGGTTAAGGCGCGATATGACCAGAACAGTCGGCACACCTTAGGACCCTTACCACCACCATCACCTGGTCGGGGTTGGGGTTGTCGCCGCTCCTTACGTCCGGGCGTCGGGTGGTTCGCGCTGATGTCGTGGTTCGCGCCCATCGTCGTGACCGCTGTTGCATTGGAGTTATGTTATAGTCCGTGCAGAATAAATGTGTTGCGTATATTCTGGTTTGGTTTTTGCATGCTTATGACCATCGGTATCTTTGTTGTAATTACATGTTAGTCATACATGTATAACCAGTCAGTAAATTCACAGCACAATTTGAAAATTGTGAGCGCGGTCAGGAGGGCCAGTGGAAATGGTGCATCAGTTGTACTTGTGATGCGGTGAAAGGATCAGTAATGATCTGCTGGGTCACTGAAGTCTTGCTTGAATGAAGGATCCACATAAATGGTATGTAAGTTTTTAAAAGGCTGTTTTGTTTGGTGTGTGTAATTAAATACACTCCTTTGCATGTTGAAGTGTATGCCTCTGGTCATTCTGATCAGGACCCCCTCGTGGGGTTGTGGCATTTCCTGTGCTTTTCATGGGTCTGCCTTGGGAGCTTCTGGGCGCTCGTGGCGATCAATATGGTCTCATGCTGTCATCTAGTGAACCTATGGGCCATATATCGTCTCGTGCGTGCCTAAAGGGCTCCTCTCTGGTGGGTTGGAATGTTTGCCGTAGCACCTCGGGCGTATGGGCGGTACGATGGAACATCCTGCTGCAATGGCGGGAGGGGGGGGGGGGGGGGCAATGGACGTGTTTGACGTTCTTACAGGGGTGAAGCGGTTCGTTTTCTTCCCTGTTGGTGCCACCTGTATTCACAGGATTGGAACGCAAGTAAGGGCTTCTTGAACTTGAAAATCTGCAGGATTCCGAGGAATGTAGTGGGCGCTCTCAATGTCAGACCCTGTTCGTGGGTTCGCTGCGCGAGGCATTGTCGACAGTGATAGGGCATTGCGCACAGTGATGTCAAGGGAGGATCCAAGCGCCTCAAACGGGCCATATCGCCTCCAACATGTCCTGCGGGTGGTAAAAATGTGACGGGTTTCCGGACTTAAAAGAAAATCAATCCAGCTTATACTGGATGATTATTTTAGAATAGCCATGTGGGTAACAGATGACTCCAAATACCTTTTCGCCACCAGAAAAAATTGTTACCCCTCTGGTTTGACCGTGCTTACCGCTCCCCACCCAGACGTCATTACTGGACCTGCCATTGAGTGCCACTGACCTGAGGATTGAGGAAAGTCACTTTCCAACATTAGCGGTGAACATTAGTTCATGCTGCTGTATTCAAGAACCCTGCATTTACCTACCTCGATTTAGTTGCATCGCTGTGAGACAAATATGACGCACTTGCCTTTGCCTTGAAGCTATCAAACCAACCTGAGTCGGACGCATTTAACAAGCGAGTTCTCGCGAAGAAAGTGGGATTCGAGGCGGCGGCAAGTTTCCTGAAGAGCTAGGACGTTCTTACGGAAATCAGTGAATAAGTGCTAAATTTCCCGAGCTTTGGATGCTTCATTTTGGGAGAAATGAGACTACTTAAGAGCATGTAATGACTATTGAAAATCATCATTCATATTTTGTTTTGTTGAAATACTATGGCTAACTCGTTAGAAAATGGCGTAAAAGAAGAACCTAAGACACAGTTCTCTGCCCGGGAAGGAACCTACCGGTTGATGTCTCACTCAGATTACTCTCGGCCAAACAGAGTTGGCTATAGCAGTGCTGGGCATGCAAACACTCCTGTTCGTGTTTCATTTGCAACGGTGCAAGAGCAGTCTGGCACTAGTGAACGAATATGCTTTAATCATGGAAGAGAGTTATATTTATATGTGTATAGGGGCATTAAAAAGGTGAGGACTGAGTGAAGGAGATGAACTTATGCAAAGATGGTGCATTATATTGCAGCAGCCTGTACCATTGCCATGCTGATTATGTAGCATGTTAGTCTGCTGTGTAATGGCCACCAGCTTAAAAACAGCACACTCTTTTTCACCATGGCTGTGTTCACCCAAAGTTTTCAAGATTTATTGTTGTTAGTAATCAAAGTTTGGGCACTGCATGATTTGCACTATTGATTAGGGAAGTGGGTGTTGCAATTACTGTTAAGAAATGTGAACTGGAAATGCCAGTGCCAGGAATTGGTGTCATAATATTTTCCCACTGTATGTTAACTGTGTGTCCACTACAATGCAGGCGGCAGATCTGACAAAGCCAATTGACAAGCGGGTGTACAAGAGCACGAGTCCTACATGTCATGACTTCCGACCAGATGCTAGTGCTGCTGAAAGCCTCTCACTACTGGTTGGCTTTACTGGGGGGCAGGTGCAGCTCATTGACCCTCTTCACAAGGACACCAAGATCTTCAATGATGAGGTGAGAGGTGATTGTAGTGGAGTCAGTTGCCATGTAGAGTAGAGATTCAAGGCTGGGCAGAAAGCACAGACTTGTCATATGGTCTGTCATTTCATGCATACTGGCCTTGGCAATGCCTCACCACCTGCGTTGCTATTTCTCTAAGTAAAACAGGGAGGCTTTGGAGATCATGGTACTGGTGGCCAAGAACTGGTATTGTAACTGATTGTGTAACAACCAACCAGTTCCTTGCTTAACTGGTTGGTTGCAATGCTCATGGTCTGGCTGGCTGCTAAAACACTCATATTTTATTTTTGTTCAGCCACATGACATGTTTCCAGCTCAGCTGTTCGTCAATGTGAGCCTGACGCTGTGCCGTTGTCCGCCGTGTCCGCAGCAGCTGATCGAGAAGACGAAGGTGACGTGCGTGCGTTGGCTGCCCAACACGCCGCACCAGTTCCTCGCCTCGCACGCCAGCGGCCAGCTGTACCTGTACTCGGAGCGGCTGCCGTGCGGCCCGGCCGCACCCACCTACCAGACGTTCAAGCAGGGCGACGGCTTCACTGTGTACACGTGCAAGGCGCGCAGCACGCGCAACCCGCTGTACCGCTGGGCCGTGGGCGAGGGCGCCGTCAACCGGTTCGCGTTCTCGCCGTGCGGCCGCCACCTGGCCACTGTGTCGCAGGACGGGTGCCTGCGCGTTTTCCGCTACGACAGCATGGAGCTGGCCGGCGTGGCGCGCAGCTACTTCGGCGCGCTGACGTGCGTGGCGTGGTCGCCGGACGGCCGGTACGTGGCGGCCGGCGGCGAGGACGACCTGCTCACCGTCTGGAGCCTGGCTGAGCGGCGCGTGGTGGCGCGCGGCCGCGGCCATCGCTCCTGGGTGGCCGACGTGGCGTTCGACCCGTACACGACCGTGGTGGACGGCGGCGGCACGGGCGACCTGCCGCCCGCCGCCAACGGCAACGGCAACGGCTACTGCTCGGACCAGGGCAGCGGCGGCTCGGCGTCGCCGCCGCCGCTCGTCTCCTACCGGATCGGGTCTGTGGGCCAGGACACGCAGCTCTGTCTTTGGGACCTGACGGACGACGTTCTGCGCCGGCCGTACGGCAAGAGCCGCGCCAGCGTGGCGCTGTCGGCCGCCGCGCCGCCGCCCGCCGCCGACCCGGCCGCGCCCTCCTCCGGCGGCGGCGGCTCGCTCTCGGCGCGTCTTTCCTCGCTGGGCCTCGGCGGCGGCGGCGGCGGCGGCGGTGAGCAGCGGCGCGATCCCGGCCGCCGGCTCGGCCTGCTGCTTGGCGGGCACCGCGCGGAGAAGGCGGCGAGCCGCGCCAGCTCGGGTGGCAGCGGCGGCGGCGGCGCGGCGGCGCGCCGCGACCTGCACCGGCTGATCGGCACGCCCGGCTGCCCCCGGCTGACCGACTGTCCGATCCTGGAGCCGCACGTCAGCTGCCGCGTCTCGCACGAGCGGCTCAGCTCCATCACCTTCCGCGAGCACTGCCTGGTGACGGGCTGCAGCGACGGCTACGTCAGCACCTGGGCCCGGCCCGGGGCGACCACGGCGGTGAGTACACGCGTCGCGCGCCATCCTGCGGTGCCTGCTCCCCGCCCGCCGGCTCGAAAGGTCGCGTCATGAGCGTCATGTTCGGGACGGCTGGCGTAGGAGGATCACATTCGAGGTACGGGGATAGATGCCACGTTGGTGACATGATGACGTGATTTTATACGGCTGTTTGTGACGTGGGTGTAGTTAGCATACGGGTGGCAGCAGCCTGCTTATTTTTCCATAATGGCGAATTTAAATTGCATTCGGTAAAAATATTTGGGAAGCATACCAGAAGGGTCACGGGTGCGGTTGATTTATACCATAATTTGCTCGACTGCATGTTGAGATAGTTCGAAAAACGAGATATCACATCGACTGTAATAGCTGCGCTGCAGTCCCGAGTCTTCCTATCTATCCAAACGAAAGGTCAACGATTTCAGTAACTGTGCCTCATTCCGAACCTTTATTAAGCTGGCCATGACTGTTCCAGAGGTGCAGCCAGAGGACGAGCGCACCTCCCCGTAGGCTCGCGTCCTGTATTTACTTAAACCCATAGATGAAGCCTTCTGGTTTTGTGAGCGCACACTGAGCCCCCCCCCCCCCCTCCCAAAGAAAATTCTGACTTCACTGCTGCCTGTGCGTAGTCAGTGCATTGACAATATCCTCAAGCTAGCTGTTTGTCAGTTAATCCTGCCAGGCAGTTCCGCAGAACCGGATGTCGCGTTGCATCCTGGAAAACCGGACAGATAGTCGAATGTCATCCTGGTTCACGAGGTCGCATCAGTCGAGAGAAGGGCGTCTGTTGAGTTGGCACCGACGGGCCGTTGGTCCCGTCATGTTTTATGCAGGGACTGTCGCAGGCGCGACCCCGTGGTATACATGCATACAACACCGCTTAGCATGTCGAGGAAGGGGATAAATACGCGCTTGACGTTTGGACGATCGACTGGCCGTTCGTGTCGGTTGGTGCCGGACTTGCCAGAGCGGCGAGCAGTTGCATATTGTAAGACGCCTGCCGTGACCCGCAAAGGGTGTGAATCAGGGTGGACCGTTTCATAATGCATCTGTGCAAGCCGTACAAGTCGCTCTTTATTTATGGTGCAGTCATGAATTAATTAACAGTTTAGGTTGTGCGCTCTGTGACTGAATGGCAATGTTACTACGTCCATACGGCGCCGGTAAGGCGGCTTCTGTTGCTGGCGCCCCCCCCCCCCCCCCTCCCTGGTTCTTGTTACCGGTGGATTTCCTGCGCGCTCACAGCGTGACGTGCCCACGCGTATGCGGACGGGCATTTTCCTATCATGCTACGCTCTGTGTTCATGTCATATGATGTGGCCCCGTTGAATTCCGAACTGAATCATGATCGCACTAGCGCGTTTTCGCGTTACAATTTTGACCTTCAAGGATGATCTCATCTGGCTGACGCAACAGACCGGCCTGTGCCCATTATTCAGCATGGCACAGTTCAGTCATCTGGGTGGACATTTATTCATGCCGTGACACTTCTGTCTGGTGGTTCACTGCTTGCTGCGTCTTCCCTCGTATCAGGAATGACCAGTCAGCATCCAGCCAGATGGCGGTCAATCCAGAATCTAGGCTCCTCGGGCGATTCAAATCTCGGGGGGGGGGGGGGGCAAGGCAGAGTGCGATGGCACGGGGTCAAAGAGCAACAGATTAGCAGGGTGGGATCGCTGACACCCATCTGGGCGAATTGAGCCGTGCTGGCGCCATCTCCCCGCCACTGTGAGTTTTGCTTGCGTCATGTTCGAGTGTCGTACCTCCCACATGTCAAGCGTGGTCACATTGCGCCGCGCGCGGTCACCACACCCGTGTGACCGCCTGCCGCCGCCGGCTGTGGCGGCCGTGCTGACCCGCGCACTGTCCTCAGGTCGGTTGTCAGGTCACCAGTCCGGCGGCGGCGCACCCGAGCGGCGCCAACGGCAGCGGCACGGTGGTATAGCCAGCCGCGGCGCCCGCCACCAACTGTGATAGCGCGCGCCGCCGCCGCCTAGTCAGCCCACCAGCGCCGGCCGCCCGCCCGCCACCCGCTCCGGTAGATAGCGCTGCGAGCGCGCCTGGCCCGAGGCGCGGCCACTCGGCCGCCGCCGGGCACGCCGGGAGCGGCCGCGCGCCGGCCGGTGTCATTCCGCTGCAGACCGGCGGGCATTTGTAAGAAGAGTGCACGACTTTCAGGCGCGTGTTAGCGCCGCGTCGCTGCGGCAGAGGGCGATGCGTGGTGGCGAAGTCGGAACACGCGGCGGAACGGCGAGGCCACGGACGAGACGGCGTGAGCGTTGATATTACGCTGCGCGGTACACGCGTGGTCGTGAGACCGTACCCGCGTAGTCGCGACCGAAGATGGTTCAAATTGCAACTCACTTGAGGTAAATAAAATATATTCAGCTTTAAGAACGCGAATGTGTGTGTCGAGGGTGGGCGTCACGAGAAGTCGCCGGCGAAGCTTGTCACGAGGCGGCGGCGCCGTCGCTCTTCTCCTTGTACTGGACGACGCCCTTCTGGATCATCTCTGGAATCTCCACCGCCAACCAGGGTCCCAGCTGCAGGCAGAGGTCGGCCATCGGTCAGCGTCAGGGGTGGCAGGGTCGGGCCGATCGGCGCCCACGGCCACCCATGTGCGCTGAGCCAGCCGGCGGCGCAGACTTGTCCGCGAACTCCTCGCAGAAAGTACGGGAAAACTGGTGAGAGGTGTACTGGGTTGGGCCACAGCTGCCCTAGCAGAAAACACCAAACTTGACCATAGCAGTCCCGCACGAATGGATGGATTTCCTTGAAACTGGCGTTCAGATCAATCAGGCGAAGTTGAGATGTCACGGGATAATGCGACGAAAGCACCGAGCAACCAACATCGCCGTAATGCGCCATTGCGCTCGGTAGCGGTGTTGCCAACCTACCCCCAGGGCCATGGCGTGGGCAATGCCAAACTTTGGCACATTCCTTCCCCACAGCGGTTTGAAGTGATCACTGAGGCAGATCTTGCCACCCCGATACATCTTTGCAGTCTTCCCATCGAGCTCGGGAAGGGCAATTTCCGGCGATGTGGCTGGATACGTGACGGGGATCTGTAGATCAACGAGATGTCATGTTAATGTTACACAACAAGTGTCCCAAACAAACACCACAAAAGCACTGACAAACCGTATACATAAAATGCACGCTGATATCCTTGTAATATAGCATGTTCTAAGCATTGCGCTAGGCAGCGGCACGGGGGACGTCATGCTCTGAAGGAGCAAACGGACAGCCGAGTCAGAAAAAGTGTGGGTCGACGTGTGCCAACTGTTATCCGCTATCGTACGCCAGGCACGGATCCGCCCACTCTGATACATAGCTTCAGGGAATGCTGCCGGATCGAATAGCGGGAGCTAATGGAAGGGTGCAAGGAAGCGCAGTCAAGGCGAATGTGCTGCCGACACGTGAACAAGTGATCCCAAAACCACCACTGTCACTGTGCGCCTGTCTGATCGACAGGAAAGCGGCCGTCACATTTCACGAACCCAATCTCCAATACAATACGCTGTGGTCTCAACCGAGGCATTAGACCGGAAAAGTCAACCTGCACTCAGGCGGCCTTTTTAGATGGCCTACTCTCTGACGGGCTTTTTAGGCGGCCTACACTTTGACGGCTTTTTTAGATGGCCTACACTCAGAAACTCTACTTGCAGCAGGCCTCCTTCCAGCAATCCTGTGCTCAGAGGGCGTACCTCTGAGAGCACAAAGTACAGGGATTATGCTAAGAAAGCCTGCCTGCTGAATCCCTGTCCTCAGAAAGTGTACCTGCTGAACTCTTGCCCTCAGAGGGCTTAAGCGCACAAGGCGTGTGAGATCAGAAGTTGGGGTAGCATCGAGCTTTTTTAGGGGGCCACTTTCCATGTTGCGCCTCACACATACTGCAAAACATCCAGCTAATGTTGACGGGATGCGCCATACCTCTCCCCCTCCCCCTCCCGTGGCACAGCCCATACAACTCAGCCTTAAGAGCACCTTTTTTGTACAAGGAGACCTTCGGAGCAGAATCATCGAGTCAGTAGAAGCCCAGCATATATTGGTACAAGGAGGTAGGTCCCTCTGAACACAAGCATCGCACAAGCAGGCCTTCTGAGAGCAGGTCTCCTAAATGTGTGCCTTTTAGACATGGGTCATTTGAGAATGGATTCATCATCTTGTGAACTTCATCCATTGTGAACAAAGGCACTTCAGAACAAAACCTTCTGAATGTTTGTCCTCTAAAATAGACACCTTACAAAAGGGCTAGCTTAACTAGGCCCAAAATTTGGCCTTCTGAGCACAGCCCTCTGAAAAATAGGTCATCTCAAACTGTGCTTTTTGAATATATACATTCTAAATGCATGCCATCTAAACCCCGGCCTCTGGAACAAAACCCTCCTAAAGACTTTCAAGAAGACTTCTTCAGTAAACTTATGAGACATAGCCATGCTTTTTATATTAACTGACACCCCAAAAATATCTGAATTTTTCAAATTTATGCTTACAGATGGTAAAGCATTGGCTTCTTCAAATTTGTAAAGATTGTTACTGAAAATTGCCAAGCCTAATCAGAATTAGAGGCAAGGACTTTCAAGCGATGCAATTGGTGAATCAGCAAGTGAATGTTCCATAAGTGAACCTGCACCTGTTAACTGTTGGAGAAAGGTGTCAGCTTTGAAATGTTTCCTACACATCAATTGTTCCAGTTTCAAATGTCTACCTCATCAGATGACAACTCACCTACAAATGAGAACTCTGTTACTGCCTGCCTCTCATCCTATTTAGCACAAGTCATTCAAAGGAGCAGCCAATGGGGAAGGGGGAGGGGCAGAGGTCTGGTCCATCCCTAGGCCCAGATTTTTTGTTTTGTTTTGATTTTAGCACAGGATTGTTCCTGACAGAAAGTTGAGTATATGCATTATGAGATATCATAAAGTCATTCCCCCTAAAAATAATGGCTGTACCTTATAAGTCATACTCTCATCTTCAATATACATGTGCTAGATGGAACAAATGCTGATATTCCTTGAAGTCATCACTGTCACTTCTCATTGCTCACAAAGTGAAACCACATCATCCTGAAAGATCACAAAACATTTGCTGCTATTCATACTCACATCAAATTCAACATCAAATTCATACTTCAGAAGCTCATGAACAAACCAACACTTCCCAAACCATCTTGTGCCTTCTTTGTTGGATTCTAATCTGAACCAGTCATTGTCTTGCTCCTTGTTATTTTGCACATACTGAAACAGAAAATAGGGTCATTCCTATTAGCATTTCACAAGTTTGGTAACAATGAGGGTGCTACACAAAGGCTCAGTCAGTATTCAAACATGCAGCTGTCCACATCTCTGTGCATAAGAAAGTAGGGAATCCTCATTTTTAACATAATAATTTCATCACATAAGTAAAATTAATGCACTCAGCCTTCTGTTTACATGCACCAAACTTGGCCAGATAGAATTAAGCTGAATTTTTGATCATCTTTTAGCAAGAATGTTTCATCAAAATTGTTGCCCAAAATTGCTTCTACACTATAATCTCTGTAACATTGGCCTTCTATATGCTGAAATTGGAGGTGAACATGCACCCACCTCCGAGGACTTGGATTTGCACTGTGCATACCCTGAAAATGTTGCCATGCCACTGCTACTCAGCACATGTTCAGTATTACATGCATTACTTTGCAGGCTGACCAGGAAGAATTGGTTACATTATGCTATCTTGCAAGACATAGATATATCTTCAATATTCATCATATCAAAGCTGTGCCCATGATCACAAGTGCACAACACTGTTACCTAACTCTGAGCTTATCACAACATTCTCTATATCTAATACATTTCATCACATGCACACACAACGCATCGGCCAGCCGGTCCACTGCCAATGAAAATCCCTATTGCAAGCTTGGCACCCAAATTTCCAGCAGAAAATAACTTTAACCAAACCATATGGCTAGGCACGACTCCGTAGCGTAACTCCACTAACCTTGATCAGAGCTTGGTATTCCTCCTTTAGCCTTGTCACCCAAAGATCTTTGTCCCTGGGACCAGCTTTAGTTTTCAACAAGGGAATGGCACTTAACGCCTTCTTTGTATTCGCGTCCACCATCGCTATATCAATATTATTGAGCGCCCCGCCTCCCACCAGCCAAAAACCTCACACAATTGGAGTAAGATCGCTCAGGGCGTCCAAAGCATTAGAGGTAATGACTAACGAAGGAAAAATTTCATTACGTAGCCCTGTAAAGAGTAAACGTATTTAATACAACCAGATATGATTGGTAACATCTGTCAATGATATTCCATTACTTAAGAATTAAAAACTACAAAAATTTTGAACACATTAACAACGGTTTTATTGACGTTTGTCAGGAAAATAGTACCAGTAAATTTATATTACGTCATAGTTTATTTCGAACCATAAGTAACGTTTACTAAACATTGTAGCTTTCGTGGTCGTGGCTGCGACAAATACGAGTCTTTTAATACAGTACCCGGAATACGGATAATCTGTGCTGTTTGCATTAGCATCAGGGTAGAATGGCCGGATAAGAGTGATGGTGTTCGATGAGTGCTGTTGATAGTGAATTATGCAAAACACCAAATAATTTGTTTTCATTTCATCTCTCCCCTTAACGTTAAGTGAGGTCTGTTATCACCATGGCTGCCAGTCTAAGGGAAAAACAGATTGGTAAGTGCTCACGTCACCGAGCTTCTCTTATGGGGTAGCTCATGACCTGAAGATTGAAGAATGACATGACCCATTGCCATGTGATTTTTCCTTTGCTGTGCTAAACATCAAAGGAGATGACCTGGGTGAAACCAAAATATTGGTGGGTGTTGTTGGTTGGCACCCAACTGTTAAAAGTATAAAGTTGTGCAGTGTCAATCACATCTTGCAGAGTTGTTGAGACGCTGACTGCTAGAGTGCATGTTATGTCAAACTTGTCCAGAGAAGTATTGTCATCAAATGAACAATGTCAGTGCATGCTCACTTTAAATGTGATTACTCAATAACTCAGTGTATGATCACCACCTGGAAAACTCAGTGCAATTTTCCCTGATGTAAGTTTGGGTCAGTGGGTGTAAGGTTCAGTAAGGTGATGTTCAGATAAGCAGTGTAATACCAACTCTTATAAGAGAGTGCCTTACTGTGTCATTTGAGAGGCATCATCTACCCCTGATTAATCTACCCATGGCTGAATGTTTTTTAGCCACTCTACATGCTGTTGTTTGATCCTTAATATAATGGTGCATCTCTAGCTGCAACATCCTTTAGCCAAGGGTGGGCATGACAAGATTTCACAACTGCAGCCACAGCCCTAAAATTGTCACTGAAAGCTGAGCTTGGTGTACCTCAGGTGCAACTAATATATTGTGACTAATGAAAAATGCTTGCCATCTTTACTTTATTTTTACATTTCTATATGAACTTTAGCAGGGTGATGGTGAGCCAAGGCCAATCATCACTGTTCTTTTTTATTTAACCAAATGCCCATCATAATTGGTCTAGACTAGTATCAACTTTCTGTTTTATTTAGAGTCCTCATTTGCAGGATGTTCTGTATTGTAAATACAGGATACTGCCTTAGCACACCCAACCAGCATTGATGAACAAGAAGACAGAGGTGTTAGAGCATGAGAAGACTATTCTACAGGGCTTGGTCCTGTCAGATAACAAGGAAATTCTCTATTTGGGTTGCTGTTGATGTGAATGTATTGCATAAGGTATCTGGCAGCTTTCTCTTTGAACAATGTGCATGTGTGCATGTGTGTGTGTGTGTGCATGTGTGCATGTGTGTGTGTGTGCATGTGTGCATGTGTGTGTGTGTGCATGTGTGTGTGTGTGTGTGTGTGTGTGTGTGTGTGTGTGTGTGTGTGTGTGTGTGTGTGTGTGTGTGTGTGTGTGTGTGTGTGCATGTGTGTGTGCATGTGTGAGTGTGTGTGTGTGTGTGTGTGTGTGTGTGTGTGTGTGTGTGTGTGTGTGTGTGTGTGTGTGTGTGTGTGTGTGTGTGTGTTGTGTGTGTGTGTGTGTGTGCGTGCGCGTGTGCGTGTGCGCGCGTGCGCGTGCGTGTGCGTGTGTGTGTATGTAGTATGTGCTGATGCCAGTCAATACCAGATGTTTCACCTTTCTTTGAATTTTCAGTGGCGGTCAAGAAGCTCTTGAACCTGAATGCCCCTCTGGTCAATTCAGCAGCATCAGAGCCTGTGTGGAAAATATTGGTCTATGACAAGTATGGCCAGGATGTTATATCTCCCATCATGGCAGTGAAGGAGCTGAGAGAACTGGGTGTTACTCTACACTTGTAAGTATATACCTTGTGTTTTTTGTGCGTGAGAGCCTCGCACAACATTTTTTGTGCACCGTGTGATCCTTATTTGGTATGGAGGAGATAATTAAATCAGTTTTGCTCCACGGACTTACAGATTCCAAATTTGGTCCTATGCTGCTTTTTAAAATATGGAAAATGATGAGATCCACGCTTTCCATTCAATATGACATATAACTTCTGCCATACGATTGCCGGCTTCCTCAAAGCAGCATGACTCGGCTGTGCCGGCAGGCCGCTGCACTCGGTCAGAAACACGGTGCCGGACGCGCCGGCCATCTACCTGTGCGTGCCCAGCGACGAGAACCTGCGCCGGATCTGCCAGGACCTGGCTGACAATGTGTACGACTCGTACTACTTCAACTTCCTGGCGCCCATCTCGCGCCAGAAGCTGGAGGATCTGGCCACGGCGGCACTACAGGCCAACTGTGCCGGTGCTATCAAAAAGGTACGTTTGCGCTGGAAAGGTTTGCTGAGGTATTGCTTTGCCTGAAATTTCGCATTTCGACCATTTGCTTGATGCTTCAATCCCGGTTACTAGAACTCAAAATGGTCATGTTCTTGACTTGCGTTAAGGGGCCGTCTTTTGTCGCTCGGCGAAGGAACTAGGCAGAGTTGCGCATACGGAAACGATGCACTCATGTGTTGTGGCGGGTTTCAAGAGCTGAGCATGCTGTGTTGAAAACCGTCATTCCTGATGAAGCTTACGGGGTAGGGCATATGTCATCCGATTTTACCGGGTTCATGCGTACAACACAACCCAGCAGTGACTTTGTGTCGACAGGTTTTTGATCAGTACGTGCACTTCATATCACTGGAGAAGGACATGTTTGTCCTCCGTCACCATGGTAACGACACAACCTCCTACTATGGTACGTTTGCTGTCGTGTTCTCAAAGTCATGCTTTTTACTTGCTATACGTGTTTACGCATTAGTGATTGGCGATGAAGTGGCGTGCTTAACTGGCAAGCTCAGGACGTCACGTTTCCAACACTCTGCGATTGTTGTCCTCGCTGCCATCCGACGGCATTATGAACACATGTTTGAGCGTTATGTTGCATTTTGCTAGCAGATACATGCATAATTATCTTGGTTTCAGGTTACGGCAGGGATTCCCAGTACACAACCGCTCTGTAGTTTCGCTAATGGGCCTGTCAAGCGTGATATTTGAGTCTCGCTGTTTGCAAATTGTCCACATCCTTACGATTCCAACGCATTTGTTTTAGCCCTGAACCGAGGCGACGTCAAGGACACGGAGATGGACGTCATGATCAACGGCATGGTGGACAGCTTGTTTGCCGTCTGCGTGACGCTAGGTGAGAGGACTCGAGCTGTGTGCGGGCTCCGCTCCGTCTGAATTAACCGCGTGGCGCATGCGCCTAGTAGTCAAGAACGCTGTGGTTGATTTCTGGTTTACATTACCGTAGCAGTGTACTCCCGTTATAACACGACAGCCATTAGGAACGTGGGGGCAATGCAAGAATGTGGCGCGTGGTGTCTATGCCGTGGGACAATGCACACATTACAGACGCCTGATCTTACATGTTACATGTCCATATTACAGCTTTTGCTGGCAGTTTGAGTACACTGTGGCCTATTTCTCATGGACCAACATGCAAGGCTAATCAGGGGCCAGTTCAGTCACAGCTCCAAACCACAGCCCCATCCCACAGCCCCCCCCCCCTCCCCTCTGACCTCGCGCCCACCGCCGCCGCAGGCACCGTGCCCATCATCCGCTGTCCGCGCAACAACGCGGCCGAGATGGTGGCCGAGCGGCTGGACCGGCGGCTGCGCGAGAACCTGCGCGACGCGCGCAGCTCGCTCTTCAGCGGCGACGCGCTGGCCGGCGGCCAGTACGCCTTCCAGCGGCCGCTGCTGGTGGTGCTGGACCGCAACATGGACCTGGCCACGCCGCTCCACCACACCTGGACGTACCAGGTAGCAAGCGTGCCGCAGCCGGAACCGTGTCGCGTCTTGGCAGGAGGCGTACGAGCTCTGTCAGGGTGCGGCACGCAGCTAATGTGAAACTTTTCCATTTCAGCATAGGTTGGAATATTGTGTTTGCTCCATTGCCGCAATTTTCTGATGCCTCCAATGCCGACATCCCGGGTAGCTACACACGTCGTGAAATGGACAGACCACGCGGACGGTATGGTCTCCACAAGCGCGCCGACCTGGCTGTGTTGTCGGCCGGCGGTGACGGCTGGCGGTGACGGTCGGCTGTGTCGTCGGCCGGCGGTGACGGCTGGCGGTGACGGTCGGCTGTGTCGTCGGCCGGCGGTGACGGCTGGCGGTGACGGTCGGCTGTGTTGTCGGCCGGCGGTGACGGCTGGCGGTGACGGTCGGCTGTGTTGTCGGCCGGCCGTGACGGCTGGCGGCGACGGTCGGCTGTGTTGTCGGGCGCTGACGGCCGGCCGCTGCGGCAGGCGATGGCGCACGACGTGCTGGAGCTGCGCCTGAACCGGGTGACGGTGGAGGAGACCAGCGGCGAGGAGGAGCGGCGCACCACCAAGACCAAGACCTTCGACCTGGCGTCCACCGACGAGTTCTGGCAGCATCACAAGGGCAGGTGGGTCGGCGCGGCGCTGTTGGGGCTGGGGTTGGGGCGCCGGTCAGTGGTCAGTGACTAGCGACCATTTTTTATCGGTCACATGTGCAGATAAGCTGGATAAGCTGTACTACATCACCCTGTGTATGGAGTGCGTCAGGAAGTGCGTTGTTTTTCCCCTCCCCGCGCTGTGTTCGGGTGCCATCGTCTGGTTCTCAGCAGTGCATTGCTGGTCGTCTTCTGCCAGTTTTGATCCGGTTCGCGGGCGTTATGCTCCTCCCGTCGCCTCACGGGCCTCCGACACGCATCCGTCTCCGCGCATCTGACCGCCGTGACCGGTCTGAGCGCGTGTGTTGAGTGGCGTCGGGACCGTTCCAGTCCGTTCCCGATGGTGGCTGAGGCGGTGCAGGAGGAGCTGGACCGGTACCGCGCCTCCGAGGGAGAGGTGAGGGCCCGCCGGATGGGTGGTTCGATGCCGGTGAAGGCGGCAGGGGAGGGACTGGCTGCGCGTGGTCCGATGCCGGTGACGGCGGCAGGGGGGGGGGGGGGGAGGAGACGGGCCGCGGGTGGCCGGGCGGTGTCGGTCGGTTGATAGGAGGTCGTTTGTTGTCTGAGGGCTGTTTACCACGCTTCAGCCCGTCCTGAAGGGACGTCCCTGTTGAGTCAAACCGTGCCCAGTATGCTGTCCTGTAACTGATCCGCATGAATCAGGGGTGTGATGACCGAGCGGTTAGCCTTTCCGGCTCTCGCGTGGGGTCCGGGTTCGAACCCTGAGTACGCCATGGCCCTTGATTGCTTATATGGCTTACGCAGTCTCTGGCGCTCCATGAAAGGGTGCGCGATGACGAGCGTCGTGTTCCCTCTAAAAAAGATGCCCATGAGTCATATTTGCTTCGGAAGCTCGCAACATCTCAATATTTTTGTCAACTCAGCGCTGGAGTTATTTTTTGCGCGCTATTTTTGTCAACTCCAAGGCGGCAACTGGGTGTGGCCGTGCGTGGGTGCGGGATGGAACGAGCCAGTGCTGTGTGCACCGCTCGTGACGGCCGCTGTTACGGCCCGTTCGCGCGCCAGGTCAAGCAGCTGAAGCACGCCATGGGTCTGGACGGCGAGTCGGACGAGGCCATCAGCCTGCTGACGGACAACACGGCCAAGCTCACGTCGGCCGTCTCCTCGCTGCCCGAGCTGCTGCAGCGCAAGCGGCTCATCGACGCCCACACCACCATCGCCACTGGTGAGAGGGCACGGCGCCATCGCCACCGGTGAGAGGGCACGGTACCATCGCCACCGGTGAGAGGGCACGGTACCGTCGCCACCGGTGAGAGGGCACGGTACTTTCGTCATTGGGGAGAGGGGACGGCACCATCGCCACCGGTGAGAGGTCGCGGTACCATCGTCACCGGGGAGAGGGGACGGCACCATCGCCACCGGTGAGAGGGCATGATACCATCGCCACCGGTGAGAGAGCACGGCACTATCGCCACCGGTCAGAGGGCATGATGCCATCGCCATTGGTGAGAGGCATCACAGCATTATCAGCAGTGAGGGACCGCACACCATGGCCATTCTCTTGGGCGAGTACGTTACCGTTATGACCAGTGAGCGCGGTAATGCCGTCGCTGTGGCGGGACCGCGGTGGGGCTGGCACCGTTCTAGCCTCACACCACCGGCACCTGGCCGATTCGACTCCGCTCCCAGTATCGCCGACATGATTTGGGCGGGGTTATGGATAAGTTGGGGTTATGGATAAGATAAGTTATTTGAGAGGTCCGACTCGTGATATTTTAGAAGCTGTAGGTCGCTCGTTGTGCCTTATTTGAGATCAGACGCGCATCCCGAAGTCCCTCGGGGGCTAATCTCTAGCTGTAAGCAGGCGTTTTCGAAACCGTGGAGACGGTGAGCGAGATCCAGATCGTAGTATCATTCCATGTGGCCGAATAGAAGCTCTGTTGACTGCATGGATTTGCTACGCGTCGCCTTTTGCATCTCCAAACACCGATATATTACAGCACTATCCCCGTCTGGCGCTGGTGGCCGCCCTTCATCACGATCCCAGCCCCAGCCCTGCCTGGCACCCGCTCACACTCACCCCGACCGGCAGCGATCCTGGAGCAGATCAAGCGGCGCAAGCTGGACGCTTACTTTGAGACGGAGGAGAAGTTGCTGTCACGCTCGCCGCCCGAGCGGCCGCTGGTCGAGCTGCTGCGCGACCCTGAGATGGGCTCGGCAGACGACGCGCTGCGCCTCTTCCTCATGCACTACGTCAGCGCCGAGGAGGTGGCCGAGACGGAGCTGGAGCAGTGCGTTCAGGCGCTGCGGGAGCGCGGCGCCGACCTTGGCGCCGTGCAGTTCGCCAAGCGCTGGAGGTGAGGCGGCCGGCTCTGCGCGCTGCCTGCGCGCTGGGGTGATGGAAGCCGGCTGACCTCAGGTTGTGTGCGATGTTGGCGGTGCATTGCATGGCCCAGGAGGGGTCTAAAAAAACACGCTTTATCTATGTTGTGCAAGTGAAAGTAGTTTTCTGTGTAAATTGCGTTTTAGGGCAGGTTTATGCGTGTTGTGCACTGTGCAGTGACGTTTTGTGTGTGCCGCAGACTTTACAACAGAATGCCGACCAGCACCAATCAGTACCTGGGCAGCGGCACCAAGACGGTCAACATGTTCAGCAAGCTGATGTCGCAGGGCAGTCAGTTCGTCATGGAGGGCGTCAAGAACCTGGTCGTCAAAAAACACGTAAGCCGAGCCGGGAGGCGGGTGATGCAGCACGAAGTGTTGTAAGTTGGTGTGGCTGTAGTGCGAGTATTTACCTTTCACGAGATGGAAATTCGTCCAGACAGCTGGGAGTTTAGATTGCGGACTTTTCTGTCAGTTGCTCTGCAGCCGGTGATTGCCGGTCAGCGGAGTGGTATCCATGTTCTGCTCAAAGACCGTTGGCTTTTCAAGCCTTGTCTTCGTTCATGTCTGTGTGTTGGTGTCCTAGCCGCCACACTCATCATTTCGCGTCATCAGTGTTAACACGCGTGCTGGTAAGTTTGCAATGAGTTTGCAAACAGTTGCCTGCTGTACATGACTGCAGTGCTGCAAATCGCTTATGTCCAAGAGTGTCCCGGTCTGCACCCTCCGCTGACTTCGACGGATCCGTCCGCCCGCAGAACCTGCCGGTGACACGCATCGTGGACGCCCTGATGGAGCAGAAGAGCATGCCGGAGGTCGAGGAGTACCGCTACCTGGACCCCAAACTGCTGCGTCCGGACGCCGGCGCCGTGCGCTCGCGCAACACATTCCAGGAGGCTGTCGTGTTCGTGGTGGGCGGTGGCAACTACATCGAGTACCAGAACCTGGTCGACTACACCAAGGTGCGACCACGCCGGGCGGGCCGAGCGCTGGATGTGAGGTTTCAGACTGGGCAGTGGCTTCTGCTGTGTGGGCTGAGCTTGATTTGGTGGTGGAGGCAGTTCGATGGGTTGGGTACGTAAGATGTATTGGAGTGCGGCTATTCCGCAACGTTTCGACGAGATTGCCGGGGTGGTCGATGAAACTCTTTCGGCGGAGCTGACCGCCGAAGGGTCTGACAAAAAGACGTTTGGGATGTTTGATAAATACCCAGATCTGCAAGTTAGCAGCTAGTGTTCAGGTACTGTGTTGGACTGGCTGGGCTTTGCTAAGCCACGCAACCAGAAATATCTCCTCATTTTGCCTCGTGTTCTGACTCGCTGACTTCCACCATAATTTATTGTTTTATCGCGCCACGCTTCCACTAAACGCACCCACGACACCTGATTTGCCCTGTTGCCCAATTCTCTCCACATCAAGACCATTTCACAGCAGGCCACGCTTTTCGAACAAGCGTCGACCCGCCACCATAATAGAAGTGCAACAGGCCTTACAGGTGCAACAGGCCTGATGCAATGGAAGTGCCATGTAGACGTACGCTTACACCAGCTATTCGTCCGTTGCAGAGCAAGACGAGCACGGCGACGAAGCGGGTGATATATGGCTGCTCGGATCTCCAAAACGCCACACAGTTTCTGCAGCAGGTGAGCGTCGCGGCGTATCGATTGGGCGCTGTGCCGCGCAGACGGTGACGTGGTAGCGGGTCTGGGGCCGCAGCTGTCTAAGTCACCGCGAACTGCGTTGGGGTTTGGGCTCACAGTGAAGGCGCTTTCGGTTGCGGTGGGGCTGTTAAAGATATGAGACAGAGCTGACTTTGACAGAGGGTGTATTCATAGGGTGCATTCATAGGATGTATTCATAGGGTGCATTCGCACCGCACTGAGAAGGTTCTGTTCTTCATGACGTCACGCAGAATCGCTGCCAGACGCGTTCAAGGCGCGACAGTTTGATGTCGCTGCTCGTGCTTGCTGTCATGAAAGTGTCAGGTACTTATCCCACATTGTTATGAAACGAGGATATTGATCTTCCAAGCGTGTCATGACATATGCGTATTTTGTTTTGTTTGCAGCTTGGCGAGCTGGGAAATGAAATGCAGTAGGTCATATCCGGTGGACACTTCAACATCAGGAGCATATACGAGAGGACTGTTGGGTGGAATGTGGCGTTTTGGACGCGGGCCGAGGAAAGGCCCTACACGCAAAATGGTGGGCGGGTATGTTTTTATTGTGACAGTGCCCGGTTTCTGGTGGAAGGAAATTATGTATTCTCGTCCGTTGTGAGCGGTCGAGTGTTTTTCGTTCCTTGTTTCGGCTGGTTCATTTTCCCGAAGACGTTTTAAGGAAGGGAAACGTCGCCTTGTACCCGAGCTGCTTCGTGCTAGAATACATGTATTTATATCAGCCCCATGTTGTTTTTCATGCTGTGGGTACTGGCACGCTCACGAGAATTGGGAGATGGGTTCATGGAAGCATCGGAATTTGTGGGGGTCAGCTCAAATATGTATTTTCCCCGGGTAAATGGACTTCTGTATGTTTGGGCGTCATAAACGAATCAATGGGGGGGGGGGGGGGGGGTATAAGAACTGTATTTTCGTACAATGCGCTACTGTATTTGTGCATTGGACAAAAGTTAACCGCTGGGCGAGGTCCCGCCGAGATTTGAACTCGGATCGCAGGATTCAGAGTCCTGAGTGCTAACCGTTACACCACGGGGCCACCTGGGCATCTGAAATGTCGCTCTTTGATTCATGTTACGGTATGGGACCGCTCCACGTTAATGCTCACTCCATGCTCGGTACTTGGAGGTAAGATTGGAGGCGTGCTGGGTTGAGATAGTCTTTTTTAGTCGGATTCTGGGCGGTGCTTTCAGGAGGTCATGTATGGCACAGTTCATTTAATCGATGTAAACGTATATTGCACCTCATTCGTCGGACAGGTCACTGCATGTGGGTACGGTTGCGCTTGTTCCCCGTTCTTCCCCCTATCAGTATCAACGGACACAAGCTATAACCTTCCCGACCAGGCCTACATTTTTGACATACGCCACACACCAACTGATAGCGGGCTGAGAACTACTCTCTCAAACACAGCAGTCTCACGTCCATTCTGCCCCGCCCCCGCTGAAGCATGGCAACGGCTTGCGCCCGGCGGCTCACCACGACCCCCGAAAAGACGTTGATGGGAACAACGAGCATGGCGAGATTACTGAAGCGCGCAACATTATGCATATACAGAAGCGTAAAGAAAGTGTCAGGCCCAACATCTGTGGATTGCTTCACACGTTGGGGCATCGCACCGCCATCTATATAGCACAATGCGAACTACAGCTCGTCCATTCTAGCACACTGACCGTTTTCCCAACATCTTGCGATTTCTCCACACCGATTCCACTGCATTCCACACGTCGATTCAACGTCATTTCTCGTGGAACGCCCCTGCGTTGTCAGACAAGTTCGGTTCGGACAAGTTCGGGGAGCGTTTTGGATGCGTAGCATTCCACTACCATCACAGACCGCAGCTTGGTGACAGTGACATTCAAGTTATGGGTGGCAGGGGGACATAACCCCAATGTCGACCATAGCGCGCTGCGTATACTTGGATACTGAGAGCACGGCGAGGAACCTGAGATGCATGTTAGCAATGGATTGCTAGTATTGACGATTCTTCAGCAAAACGCAGGTGCTGGCCAGGTCCCGCCGAGATTTGAACTCGGATCGCAGGATTCAGAGTCCTGAGTGCTAACCGTTACACCACGGGGCCGGTGCCGCGTGCATGTTTCGCTCCGTGATTAACAGCACAGCGGTTTGCACGTTGTCGGCAGATCGGGACTGTCGCGCTCACGCCATAGGCCTGTATTATGCTTCTTGTGTGGTGCAGACCTGTAACGTTTGTGAGTAAATGCCGTTTTTGTGTTGTGTTTCGGTATGACCGCAGGGGTAGGAGAGCTAGCCGTGACCCTCAATTTTCATGAAGGTTAGGCATTACTCTACTTGATCTGTGGTGCCATATGAAAATAATTTCCTTCTTAAACAAAGCCATGGCCTTTTTGGGGAATTATTACGCCCTTGCGTGCCATATGAGAACCCAACCCCGTGATGTGAGCGTAGGGACGTGGGCCTTGGGACGGATTTTCTAGAGAGAAAGATAAGCACGAGCATCGCTTGTTTACGATTTGTGGCTAGTAGTTGGCTGGTTTAATTGTCATATCGGGGGACAAGGCGTCCCTCCAAAACTACACCAAGTGGGAAAATCAGCGCAAAGCTCCTTCCGTGTGGGATGGAAGTGGGGATGAATGGTTAATATTTTTGCTACATTTTGTCATCGTTTTGTCTGCAACCCTCCCTAGCAAACGGACCTCATCACTGATGATCAGGGAACCAAAGTGCAGCGCGCGGGTTACCGCTGCGTGGAGCATGAATGGAACGAAAGGCTCGGTGACACGCTCTGACATCTCTTGGCCATAGTCGCAACTGTAAGTGTCTGCATGAGCTGACCCAAGCCGTAGCGCTCGGCACTGCGACTACGCTTATGCTGCATGCGTTTCCACCAATGCAGGTCGATTTTAGATGATGTTCGCAAATTGAGCAAGATATTTAGCGTGCGCCAGGATTAGCTGCTTTGCAAGCACAGACTGCGCAAGTTGTATAAGCATATGGACGTCTCAAAAAGTGGGGAGCATGCTTATTTTGAAATATACTCTTCCCATTCATACCCGGAGTGGTAACACTACGTCGTAGTGGCTCAATATTTTCATAAGGTGACATAGCCAGGTGACATATTTTCGTAAGGCGACATAGCCAGGTGGCATATTTTCATGAAGTGACACGTTTCTCACCGAAGAAAAGACGCGTCGCCCACTCAGTGCCACTCCAATACAGGGGTGCTGGTGGTGGCCAGAACTATGGACGACCTCAAACATGACTGGACTCGTTAAAACATCGCCGCAGTAAATGCATCGAAGCACGCTGGCGTCCGGGTCAGATCGCCTTGGGCGGGTTGGGTCTTTCGCTCCTGCAAAGCGCGGGAATCGTATGCAAGCTCGCAGGTCCAATGGCGGGAATGGCGTGGGTTCTGACGCTCTTTGACTGGCCAAATGCCGAAGGAAGCGAGCATTCCTCACGTGCTGTTTGCACGTCATCTTCTCAAGGCCCTTACGTTGGATTTTCCTAAGCTTTCGTGCTGCAATGGTTTTCGGCGAATTCTGGATTGCATTCTTCAAGTTTCTTCCATCAATCAACGCGATCATGAGGATCCATTCGTCCTACGGCCCCGCTCGTAACTAGCACATTTCCTTTAGCACGCCGAGCCCAAGCCGGATTGAACGATAGGCATCACTCACAGGGTGCGGCAATGCTGGGGATCAGGATCGTCATGCATCGCAGGAAACGCGCCAAATTTGTTGTCGTTTTTCGCCTGAGTTCAACATGAATGGTGACCTAAGCGGGAGGAGAAATCAGAATCTGGAGAAAGTTTAGGTAAGTCCGCACGTGGGATTGGTCATGTTCTTGCGATGCCTCCCACTCAGGAGTTTGTTTAAGGTCCTGCTTGGGATAGCGGGGACATGTCAAGAGAGTAGTGGGTTGCCTCAGGTTACCCGAGATGAGGAAGACGTGGGCCACTAAGAACGAGTCAACATCATAGAGTCGAACGTAAGGCTCATCACGGGCTGAAGTGGGTCGGCCACCCTGGCCACTTCTTTCGGACAGCGCAGGAAACAATGATAATGCGCGCTTGCTCGCGGATATTTTTAAGGACAGTTGCATAATGCGAAGGAAACGATAGGTTTGCGGCACCTATGGAAAATAGTAAAAATCGGCGTGCTTTGCGTTATAATGCTCGAAAGTTGGGCAAGAAAATTTGCTCAAAGTTTCACGCCATCAATCTCCCTAAAATAGGTGATGGCGGACAAAAAACGTAGGCAAAACTCAAAAGCGTTCTTCCGTTATTCGTTACATCATAAATGCAGTTCTTTAACTGCTCCTACGTTACCCCACTGAAGACATAACGATATATATATATATATATATATATATATATATATATATATATATATGTGGGTGTGGGTGTGGGTGTGGGTGTGTGTGGGTGTGGGTGTGCGTGTGGTGTGGTGTGTGTGTGTGTGTGTGTGGGTGGGTGGGTGGATGAGTGCCCTGCATGTATATGAGACACAAGAAACATCATCATGCAGTTCTCGAAAAAGTTCCGCATTTGTTGGATGGAATTTCCAATTTTGCTTAATGGGAATACGGGGGTGTCGGAGATGGAACTATGGTTGCTACCGACAAAGTAGCAGTCCATCGTATATGCGTTTGTCTTAAGAAATCACTGTACCGTATGTCTATGTTTTCTTATCTGCCATTTTGGGAATGACCTCTCACACTGTTTACTGCTTCTTAAATAGCATTAAATTTGGATGCCTTTTCTGCTTTATGTTTGTCGCGCCTACTAGAACTGCGTTTCTTTGTAACCCTTTTCCACTCCTGTCCTTCGCGTCCGCACGTCCTTCGCGGACGTAGAACCGTAGAACGTAGACTCGACCGACGCCGGTCTGACATCTGGGTGTTTTCTATGATGGCCTGTCCCCATGGAAGCACACGCCCCGCCAGCACTCGAGGAAAATTGGTAGGAAACAGTTGGGCATCTGTCCGGGCTGTGGTCCGGACTCCTGCCCAGGCCGCTGTCCTCCCCCCCCCCCCCCCCCCCTCCTGCATCCTCTTGTATCGTTGCAACATTGCTTTTCGTGCAGCTCGTATTAGCTTACTGTCTGTCATTTTCTTCTTTTCGACAGCAATGCACGTTTAGTGGACAACATCTTGCCTAAACCTTTTCGGCGTTTTGTACGCAACAATGGTGCAAATCAAATCATGTCTCAGTCAAACAAGATAACCGTCTAGGCAGCGTCACTAGGTAGGTGCTGACTGTACGGGGACGTTGCCACGTGCGCTGCCATGCGCCACACGCACACACAGGGCCGACGATATCTGCTATGGTAGAGTGCGCCAAAACGGGGCCGTGATTCCATTGACATGGAATGTGCAGGCGCGAGCGAGATACTGAGAGTTAATTTGTGCCATTTGATTTGTGTTACCCGAATGGGTCGCTGCGTTGAACACTGCGTACATGAACCACTTCACAATACGAGGCTCGAATACGTGTGGCTTATGTTAGTACTATCTTTCGAACCATCCTCACGGAGAAATGAACCCAAAAACGTTGCGATACACTGCCCTTATAGGTCGTAGAACCATTGTACAAGTCCGCAGGAATCCCGCTGCTCGTGTGGTTTTGCGTTGTCGAAACAAAACGTTTTCCCAGCAGTTCACATTTGTAACATTTACATCCCACTTGGTCATCTGTAAGTGCTGTCAGAAGTGGTGCGAACAAAACATGCCAAAAGTAGCGTGTTTCTCTGTCAGAGTCATTCCTTTACACTTGCTATTTTTGACCATGCCCCCCCCCCCCCCCCCCCCGTATCAGCCGCCAGCCTTGGATTTGCGACAATTCGCGACGAATGGGGGGATCGGGGGAAGTGGCACGTAGTAAGAATGTGTTCGGTGAGGTATGTTGAAATAAAAAGCAGAGGCGCATGCAGTGGAGAGCTGGCGATTGCTGACATAAAAGCGCGTATCTAATGTGAAAAAGTGTTGTCAGAAGTGGGATTCGAACCCACGCCCGGAGAACCGGACTGCGACCTGAACGCAGCGCCTTGGACCGCTCGGCCATCCTGACTATGCCCACCTGGGTGCAGAAAAAGTGGATCGATGGACCGATGGCTATGGCTTTGATTTGATGGGCTATGATCGAGGTCATAGCTAGGAGTGGTGCCACTTCAGGTGCACTATCCGCAGCCGTCCACGGAAACTTGGGAGGGGTACGGAGGAAAAAAGATCATGATCCAGTGAAGCAGGTGCAAGGGTGGATCGAAACCACTGTCTTGAGTGGAGATGCCTCGACTTCGGGCAAATAAATGAAAAACGAGCCATAAATTCGGAAAAATTTGGAATTTTGCTTCTTCTGATTTCAAGAAGTTTTCCACAGACTTCTCTGACTGGAAGTTGTGTAGACTTTCTGTAAGGTCCAGAAAAATGCAACTTTTCACAAGTTCAGACATCTTTCTTGGAGCAGGAACTTCAGGGGCCAAGACGGCCATGGTCCCTCACTTTTCGAGGTGGGGCAAGGGACGTAAGAACGTTTCAAAAAGTGTTAGGGCCAGGGCCAGGGTACATTGACGGAACTTTACCTGGGCAGGGCCGGGTTGAGAGAGGGGAGAGCGGGGCCATGTCCCCCTTGGGTCTTGAAGGGGTCCATAAGCTCCGAGCGGGTCTATAGCCTGCCGAGCATACGCTGCCTTTTAAACACAACACGCACCACAGCTGGATGCCACTGGGCTTTCATGCAACCAACAACAGTCGCAAGCGAAAGCAAAGGACCCACGGGAAGACAAAAACAAATCACTAATTGAGAGAGTGGTGATTGGGAGATCTAAAGATTCATTACGCTGTCCAGACGCCCTACGCGGGGGGGGGGTAGACGTCCATTTGCTCGGTCATTCTGATCATTGAGGAACCTGTTACGTTGCCCTTTATTTATAAACATTTGCTCGGAGGACCTTGCGCTGTTGCTGGGCCCTTGCTGTTAGCGTGCCGGAATACTCTTGTCAATCAGGAGCCTTCCACGGGTTCTTCCCATTCGTCCGAAAGGCTCTATACGCTGTAGCCGGAGGCCCCACATGTCAAGCTGCCAGAGTACTCTCGGTTGCTCGGGGGCCCTTCATGTTGGTCATGGTAACCTACAGGCACGCTCACGATATGCTCATGGGTCCTCTACATTGGTCTATGGACCTTCCAAATTTTCATCACGTGCCTAGGGCCCTACGCTCATGTCCGGAGCCCGTCTGTTAGCCTGCTCGGGCACACGGGATTGTTCAGGGACCGTGTACGTTGGGTTTTTGTATTTGAATGTAGGGTCCTTGCGTTTTTGTTGTGTTTTTGGTTTTGGTTTCACCTGAAAGCCTGCTCGGGTACACTCGATATTTTGTGTGCCCTCCACACAGCGCTTTGGATACTCCTTATCGTAATGGAGGATTCTACGCTCTTGTCCGTAATCCTATCTGATAACCTGCTCGGGCACACTCGATCGTTCGGGGCCCCCTGCATTGGGTCTTCGGTACTTCCTATTGGAAAAGAGAGCCTTACGTTCTTCCCGAGGGCCCTAACTGTTAAACTGCTCTGGCACGCACGATGGTTCGGGGGCCCTCTGAATGGTGTCGTAGATATTGCTTACTTGAATGGAGGGCCCTATGTTCTTATCGGGCCCACATCTATTAAGCTGCTCGGGCCAGTGGCGTATCTAGAGGGGGAAGGCACGGGACCATGCCCTTCCCCCCTCCCCCTGTTGTGCCCCGAGAGAACACAGGAACCTGCATTTCACCTGTATGATTTTGGAATTGTCCTCTGAATAAATTAGCAGATACAGCGGCAGGAAAACAGATTCCATCTTTATTCTTCCAGTTCCGCCACCAGATTTCAGCGCTATTTGTCGATGTTGTAAATGTTAATGGTTTCCTATTATCAATCCAAGTCGCGCAGGTGGAATATACGGCCGGACTACCTTCTGAATGTAACAACTGCTGTCCTAAAGCGTTAAACTGTCGTCTTTCTGATGCATCGTCATTCTCGTTTGCCCGTGGCCGCCGTCTAGACTTGGCTACTGTGCTGACAACGGGCGGGGTTTGAAGAGACCGCAAGGCCAGGCGTCGGATCTCTGCATCCAAAACTTGTGAGCGCGCATGCGCAAGGCTATGTTACAAGGCTGTTTTCGCTAATCGATTCGGATTGAAGGTAAACATTCCCAGACAAGCATGGTCGGCCATATTTTTGCAAGCCGTTTTACCCTGTTTCTATTTAAAACCTACGTTTAGCGAAATCCGAAAAATGTTCCGTGATAAACACAAAATACATTATTGTTTTGAAGGGGTCTGAATTGTGTCAAAGACGGGAGGCTGAATTTCAGCTGGAGGCACACGTAGGTACCTATTCAGCGATCTTCATTGAGGAAAACCATTGCACTGAGTCCCTAGCTGTCTCGTTAGGGCTGTCTCGGAAAAGTATTCTGAAAAATTGCACTCGCAGCATATTAAGTATAGCACTACCAGCGAGATGCCGAACGTTTTGGCGAAGTACCTCGACACGCTTTAATGTTTCAGTGCGCCGCGCAGTGGCCGTAATCTTTTGTCTGTTTGACATTTTTTGTCTAATGCTTGGCATCATCATCACTGAACTGAGCAAGTCTGCCAGCTGCACACTTTTTCGCGCTTTATGAAGAATGAAACGCAACTTTTATAACAAAATGTCAGTTTGAGTCAGAACCACAGTGCGGTTGTGTGTATTTGCGTCCAGCCTACCACGTGGGCCGTAAGGCACATTATGAGAGCTGAATAACGAGCAATGAAGTCATCAGTCGTTGCATGTGTTGTCATGACCCTTGTTTATCAACAGCGTTAACTCAGCCCGGGTAAAGGCACCTAGGTATGCACCTGTTTGTCTCGAATGGCGTGGCGCGAACAGCAGCGCAATAATTCGTGATGGTGGGGGGGGGGGGGGGGGGGGAAGGCACGTTCTTATATCTTGAGCCCATTTCGTACCATGCAACGTCTTAGGCTCAATTTGCTTATCTTAATGTTCAGGCCAAGGGCTGGTCGGCCCTCGGCTCCATCGTTCTCGCGCGTTTGATCACCTGGCAGGTTGCCAGGATCCCAGGAAAGGATGCATTTGTTTCCAGACACTTGTCTGGTAAAGTCGCATGACGGTAGCATGATGAAGCTGGTTTGTCATACTTTTCTTCATGGCCTGTGGCGGAGAAGCATGCCGTGGGGGCGAAAGGGTGATTGTAAGCCCAGGGAACCAGCAAGGGTAAATGCATTAGGTCGTTCTCTGACTACTTTCCCGCGTTGGACCGCCGGCCCCGTGGTGTAACGGTTAGCACTCAGGACTCTGAATCCTGCGATCCGAGTTCAAATCTCGGCGGGACCTGCGTGGTTTTGCTTTTGAGCACTCAGCTGCGATGATACCTTCTAGCCTGGAGCTAACATTTTCATGTCACGTGAGCCGCGGTGCGCCAAGGGCGCTGAGGTGGCGGTGAGGTAGTGAAGAAGCCGACGGCAGAACCCGTGGGCTCGACGGTCGCTGGGGCTCCCCGACTCGCGGGAGGTTCGCGAGTGTTGTGTCGCACAACGTGCCGGTCAGGGGTGTAACTGGGTTCCATGCTGTCACTATGTGAAATTGGATGGAGTGGGGAGAAGACGCCTTTTGTCTCCTTTGCTGCACCACATTTTGAAATCATTTTCCCTTTCGTTTTGGTTGGAATCACCTTGCTTTGTTTCAGATTTCGCTGGTTTCGAAAGCGGCTGCAATTGGTAACGTGGACGCCATGCACTATATGTAGCTACGTGGGTAGCCAGCTGAGCGAACCTTATGAATTCGCAATATCCAAGGTCGTGCAGGCCGTCAAGTCTGCTTGAAATCAGTGTAGCGTGAATTCGGGAATAAACCGTTCCGCGGGCTTCTGGCAACGACGGCATGGAGAGGTGTATGATTGTTCCATTTAACCAAAAATGCAGTTGGTAGATTTGTTGAAACAAAGCAGTGAGTCACGAACAAATGCGATATAATCAAGCAAACCTTTTGTGTGTACAACCGGCGAAACCAAAGATCATGCCTGCGTTTATCGTTAAGAAAAACCTCCAAATTTTATATGTTACTTTTAATGTCTCCTTTCCTCGCCGCTGATACGATTGACCTTGAATTGAACGGCGAGTTGGTTTGTAAATGGAAATCAGCGTCAAAAAACAAGCGGATGTGCGGATCAAATACTGGGAAGGAAGGATGGTTGATTACCAGAGCTTGAGTCTTAATCAGTAACACATATAGAGTGTTCTATGATAAAAACGTGTGCCATGTCTCAGCGTCTGATATTTTGTTAAAGTCCATTCTGACGCATCCGCCACGACTTCAGTGTGGCATGGTGAGAGTGTCGCCGTTGCTGAAGCGGTCATTTAATAGCTGCGACCCGGTAGTCAGAGTCTGGTTGCTGCACTGACGCCAGTTTTTTCGCTGCCGGCGAAGATCGGCTGACTCGGTCGAGTCTGTTCGATTTGCAATGCGCCTGCGATATCTGCGAACTTCAAATGCCATCACAATCTTATTCACATATATTGCCACTACGGAACGGTGAAACCATCTGAATAACAAAGAACAAAACACTTATCATCTGTGAGCACATTCAGTGCCATACAGCTCCGCTCTTATCGGGGTTCGTATATCAAAGCTGTTTATCTACGGGTGATGCGCTTCCCCCCCCCCCCCACGAAATGCTTTGTTAGTCGCAGCACCTGACACGAACACACACTTAATGGCTGCAGTGCTGCTGGACTGTGTTTTTGTTGTTTTTTTTCTTGCCTGCTCATCTGATTGCGTTCTTGAGTGTGAGGTGGAGTCTGGATGTGTCTGTGGTTGGATAAGCTCCTGGCCTTGTGCATGAAGCATGGCTGCACTCAGGCAAGCGTGGCGTCTGAGTGAGCGGCTGGCTGAATGGTGTGAGAGCTATATCCCCTAGCTGCTGCATGCACGCTACACACGTATATCACGTACAATGGTTCATTGTCTGACTGAGCGGTAGTCTTTTAACTGTACAGACATGCTGAAACATTTCTTGCTCTCCGATCAACGCGAACGAACAAAAATATAGTCATTGAAGTGACTGCTAGAGCTAATGCTTAGGAGGAATAAGGGCGCCGAGTTCGTATTGGGACCTCAAACACGCACGCATCGTTGGAACGCGCAATGCTCACCACGTGACTAACAACTCATCGCCGATAAGCTCCGCACCAGACTGTGCTCCATGGCGATGACTCGCGGGCTAGCCTGGCCACACCAGCTACACAGCATGTGGGATCCACCCACGGGATCCCGCCCCACCAGCAGGTGGGTCCACCGACGGGATCCCACCTCACAACAAACATCCTGTTCGTCCTCCCATGGGCTCAGTGGCAGGAGCCATGCGCCGTGCCTTTGGTGTTTACCGATGTTTTTAAAGCTCGCATACAGCATCGACATGACTCTCATGAAGTACAACTTCGCTTGGTAGACCCCCCCCCCCCCCCCTCTAGCGCAGCCACGTCGAATGAACACAATGTAGCCACGTAGATATCATACCGCGGGCCGCAGAGACGTAACAAGTGCAATTTGCGGGTGTTCTAGGTAAATCGACGTCACAGAGCTAGGTTATTGTTAAAAATCGCGTCAAGAATAATTCCAAAATCCCTCGTACCAATCGATCCACAATTCTGGGACCGCTATGCCTCAAAATTGTGAATCTTGTTAACTCTCGTAGAAGTACAGGAGCGGGCGGGTCAAGTGCACAGCAACTTCAACGAAGAACTCCACCAAAGGGTCATCGAAGGTCACAAAAGTCAAGCTCCACGGGCCCAGGCGCCACATTCCGCAGACCCCACTGGTCTGAGCGAGCGATAAGTTCAGCCACCGCTCCCAGGTGCTCCGGGCATGGTGAGACGGCGGCGCGCCGCGCACTGTACACCTCCCCGATCTCACAACCGGACTTCCCAGCCCAGCGCCTCCTCACCCAGCGCTCGTCCCAGCCCAGCGCCTCCTCGTCCAGCGCTCGTCCCAGCCCAGCGCCTCCTCGCCTAGCGCTCGTCCTAGCCCAGCGCCTCCTCGTCTAGCGCTCTAGAACAGGCACACGTCTTCGGCAGCCGACTTCTGCTGCTGCTGTTGCTGCTGCTGCTGCTGCTGTTGCTGCTGCTGCTGCTGCTGTTGCTGCTGTTGCTGTTGCTGCTGTCGCTGTTGCTGTTGCTGTTGCTGCTGCTGATGCTGCTGCTGCTGCTGCTGCTGCTGCTGCTGCTGCTGCTGACTGTCGGCGGCGCTGCGCTGCAGGATGGCTGACGTCATCTGTGCCGCGTCACTCAGAATGCGCGCGCTGTGCTCCTGCGCGCGCGCCCGCAGCGCCGCGATGCTGCTGCTGCGGAAGTCGTCCGGCTGCTGCTCCCGCTGCTGCGCTGGCTGCTGCGCCGGCTGCAGCCGCGCCTGCTCGTCGCCGCTGTCGTTCTGGCTGCTGTTCTCGTCCTCGGTGACGTCCTTCAGCTGCTCGGCCGCCTCCAGCGATTTGCGGTGCATGCCTGGGGGGCAGTGACAGTGAGAAGGGGTGCGGATGTGCGGGGCATATGGCTGGAGGGGACAGGACGTGACGCCGGTCGCTGCGGTCTGTCCTGCGGCTGAGCGGCCAACTGCTCCAACCACATGACGCCCTCACATCCCGCCAGGACGTAGGCGTCTGTGTGCTCTCTCACCTGGGCGAGATACCCAAATACCGTAAATGAAGAATGAACACCCATGAGACTCAACGTCGTAGATCAGCATGTTGGGAATGCTGTAAGATAGTGTCCTTCATTGCTTCCAAATTTCCGGCATAGAACAACGGTAAGCCTATTCACAAGCTGTCGATGAAATATAAGAGCAAGAAATCTTCCCTTTGCTAAAAATATCACGATTTCCTAGCCGTTAGTCATCAGATGACCTTAGGCACCAATATCCAGCTAGTGCCAGTTTGCTTCTATCATCATGGTCCCATTCCGTCGCTTAACATTTCTTGGAAGCGTCACATACACCCTTCCACGCGCAAGAGCCGAGTGCCCCTGGCGCCTCCCGAGGGCGCCCCCCCCCCCCCTGCCCCCCTCGGCGCCGCAGGCTCAGCGTAACGTCGTACCGAGCAGCCAGGGCGTCGGACAATCCTTGCCCTCGCCCTTCCCCCCCCCCCCCCCCCCCCTGCCCCTCGGCGCCGCAGGCTCAGCGTAACGTCGTACCGAGCAGCCAGGGCGTCGGACAATCCTTGTCCTCGCCCCCTCCCCTGCCCCCCTCGACGCCACGGGCTCAGCGTGACGTTGTACCGAGCAGCCAGGGCGCCGGGCAATCCTTGTCCTCGCCCCCCCCCCCTGCCCCCCTCGGCGCCGCAGGCTGAGCGTGACGTCGTACCGAGCAGCCAGGGCGCCGGGCAGTCCTTGTCCTCGCTGACAGACTTGACGATGGTCTCTGGCAGTGGCAGCGAGTGGCGCACCATGGCGCCGTACAGGCCGTACTCGGCCATGATGGTGGAGCGTCCCCACGTCTTCTCCGTCTTGCGCCACTTGGCGCGCCGGTTCTGGAACCATACCTGCCGGGGAGAGAGCGGGGTGGGGTCAGGCCGTGCGGGTTCTGGAACCGCACGGTTCTCGTTCTGGGAGGAGAGGCGCTAGGCTCGTGATGGAGACAGGTGCTGCCCGCAATGGTGACGGGCAGTGAGTAGGGGGAGGGCGTGTGGGTCCAGCGCCCGATGGAGCTCCGGCGGGAATAACGCAGAGCGCCGACGCGGTGCGCCTGAGGTCACGAATCTTTGGGAGCACTTCTCACAGATCGCGTGGACTTAGCGTCTGGTGTAGCTAGTTCAGTGAACACGACGGACCGAGCGGCCGCCGGACGGCCAGGCCGAGCGAGTCACGGGTGATGAGCTGCCGAACGCTTCGGCTGGGTCCGCATGACGGACACCCGAGTGAGGCGGGGAGGGGGAGGGGCACCACGCATGGTGAAGCACGCCCGATGATGCGCACGTTCACCATGTGGGAGGCGCACCTGGCACCACCAGCCGCCTGCCGCGCGGGGCCGGCGGGGATAAAGAGTTCACAGGCGGTGGGTGTGGCAGGCCGAGAGAGATTCTCCGACGGATCAGGCTGGGGCTTACGCGGGCTGCCGTGATTTGGAGCGGCAGCCAGACACGGAAAGCTCGGCTGAGCTGCAGTCGCATGGCTGCGCCGCGGCGCTACCGGTCAGTTCGGTACAGCGGTCGCGTGTTGAGCGACGACCCCTGTGCCTCAGACGCGCCAGCTTCTTGCGTGAGGACCAGGACTGGGCACGACTCGGTTGAACCTCATTTCGTCCGTTTAGTTCAGTTTGGCACGTGCGCGATGAAGGCGGGAAGCAAGGCATAGACTAAGGGACACCAGGCGTGGCTAACTCACAACCGGGACGGATGCATACAACACCGCGACGCTGCTGAAATGCAGGTATGTGGGATCCGCAAGCGCACGGATGGAATGGAGACCTATGACCAGGTGAGATGACGCCTGGTAAGGTAGCACCGTGATCCCCAGCTAAGTTCTACTGTGGTGAGGCAGTAAATGACATCATTCTAAACGGACTGAGTGACAAGTGTCTTATCAGGTGGCTTACTTAGGGCCAGACCATTGGGACAATTTAGACAAACGTCCGATCTAGGTGGCGCTCAGATAGCGTGTCAGACCCGTGTCCTACGACCGAGAGAGCTGGATTCCCATGCCGAGAAAATCCCGAAACGGAACAAACCCAATCTGTTTAAGCTCGGTTGTGTCGGGTGCGGACTGCCCCCGGGAAGCTCCGAGTTGCCGGACTTTCGCCCCGTTCCCACCGGAGTCCCGACGCCGGGGCGCCGCCGACGGCCCACGCGTGGACGCCTGTGGCGCCATCTGCGTCGCCCGCTGATTGAGCGTATTAGCGGCGGCGCCGGCCGACCCGACACGCGCCCGCCGCCGGCGGCGCAGAAAAACACGCGTCGTTAGCCCACCTAACGATATTATTATCCCATCGGTGTCGTGTCGACGAATATAAGCCGCGTATTTGGCTTCGTTACTGTTAATAATCCACGATCACGTAGCCGGTCACGACACAAAAGAGCGTGATCGCGCTTTGTATCGCCGGCACCGCCCGCGGCGAACCGGGCCCAGCTCTTCTCGTCGGTTATGTGGCCGGCGGCACAGGCGGTTGGTGCGCGTGCCCTACGGCTTTGAATCCATGCTACAATCCGTAATGCTATTCCCCAGTTTTCCTTAATAGGACGCGATAATTAAGATCACCCGCTTTCACGATGGTCGCTCGGGTTCGATTCCAGACTGCCGCTGTGGCCTTTGGTTTTTCTTCAATGCTGCAGTTACCAGCGTTCCGATTGGATGCGTGATAACGTGCATTGCTAAGGTTTTTAGAGAAAAAAAAACAGAGAGGTCGCACATTTTCCTCCGTGGAGGTATCTCATACCGACATAATTTTGAATTAGGTGAAGACGCTATACTTAATCTCCCAACCGTGCATTCGACGTGCATTTCACGATTTTAACTGTTCCCAGTACTTCTCCAAGGAAATGTACTTCTGCGGAATGCCTCGTTTGCGCACACGCTGGAGTGGGCTATGCGCTGACTACACTGTATTTTTAGACCCGTAAAGCCCACTGCATCGAGGCAGGTTTGTGCGTCCCATTCTCCTCGGGGGTGGGGCTTTCATTTTATTTGTTCAATACCTTATTCACAGTGAACTCGAATTTCCCAAAGCCAACGCGCAGCTATTCAGGAATCAAATCCAGAACTCGGAATGGGGCAGGCTGCATGACCAGTTGCAGTCTTAGCGCCCCAAAACTCCGCGGAATCGGATGGTGTACAAAGCAAAGCCGAGAGTCAAAACTGCTGCACTTTCTATTCACTACTAAACAGCTGTTGAGCATCGTGACCTTCTCGTCGTAAGTGTAGAAATGCATCCTTATAGCCTTATATCATGGTCTGCTAAAGCCTTAGCTCAAGAACTACAAGAACTACTGCAACGTGCCAAATGTTGCATTTCAGTTCCGTGATTGTGACTGCCTGCACTGCGGTGGCGGGGTCAGAGGCTGCGATGGGCTCCACCGAATTCACCGAGATCGGCCAGTTCGACCTAAGAATCTCCTAGCGAAATGAGACAGCAGAACAGTCAGGAACAGTCACCATTCAACCCTTGCTGCCCGCACAGACACGTGCAGGCACGTGCAAGCACGCCTGCACGTGCCTGTCGTCTGCTGAGGTCACACACGGCGCTCACCACCGGCAGTGCGACCATCACACAAGACCCAAGCCCATCACTGTCACACCACAGCCTCGAGCAGCGCGCCCGACCGGCCGCTCGCGCCGCCCGGCCCCGTCGGCGCGAGACGGCGCCGCCGCCGCGCTCTCCCGTCGCGGTGTTGACACCGGACGGCGGGATCCACCTCGCCAATCATTGGCTGCCGGGCATTCAGCGTCCCGGGTCGCCGCTGGTCGCCGCATTGTCCACCCTCCATGCAGATCAGCGGGCGTGCGGCTGGCAGCCCACAGCCGCCGGCCGGACGGTCCGCGCCGATTGAGGCGCCTCTCGCGATGAGCCGATGCTCGCCACGGGGTGCCGCGCCCGCTCCGGTTACGCGCGTAATTAGTGAGCTGAAAGCGTATTGAGGAGCGACGGCGGCCCGCCGACAACGGCGCCATTAAAGCGGGCCGGTGGAGACGGAGCGGCTGCCGGATGGGTTTAATTCGGCGGCGCGCGACCGTGGGAGACCCCGACCCCGTGAGAGACACGCAGACCGGGAGAGACCTGAAGATCGGTAGAGAGTCGGAGACCGGGAGAGATCCGGACACTGGGAGGGAACCGAAGACCAGGAGATACCCAGAGACCGGGAGAGGACTGGAGACCGTGAGAGACCCGGAGAAGGTGAGAAACATGGAAACCGGAAGAGAGACGGGCATGGGTGGATGTGTGGTAATGAAGCGGCAAAGGGCGGGAACTGGACCAACAAAACACGAGATCCTGACAGACCATTACGCAATCACATCTACCCAAGAGCACCATTTGATGTGTGAGCTTGATGATTTGATGTGTGAGCATCATATAAGTATGTTCGTCCGTGCCACTTAATTTGTCTTAATTGTAGTGTCGTCCCTAATTTCATTCGGCCCTAACATAGAGTCCATTCTGTCTCTACCGTACATCTAGCCCGACGCTATAGCCGACGGTTTTTCCATGATTTTGAAACCACCACGACTCAAACTTAAGTTGCGACTCATAAAAATGTGTGCAAGATTACGTCGTAATGGTAACCTTGCCACTTCAACTGGTACATCACGCACTGGCCGTGCTCAGCTGCCTAACTCCGCAGCGAAACACCCTGGTACGTGGTGCGGCACATGCGCGCTTCTCTCGCAGTTTGAGAACCACACAAAATTAGCGCGCTTGCTCTCTATCTGACCAAGGCGCAGTTGGATCCCCAATGCTATTCATGCCGCGCCGTGATAGCGATTTTGGAAGCTTTGCTTCATTGACGCATGCATGTACAAAACCCTCGCAATAGCAGGTCCCGCCGAGATTTGAACTCGGATCGCAGGATTCAAAGTCCTGAGTGCTAACCATTACACCACGGGACCGACATACGTCGGCGAGACGGCAAGTGGCGAATCGCCAAACAACTTCGTCATGTTGGTATCCGGGCTTGTAAGCCCTCCGGCCGCCAAAGCATGCTCCCATGAGACAGCCTCTAAGACAAAGCACGGGGAGTCGTTCCTGATCTTATCACCATGCGGCATCGCTGGACAAACGTCTAAATGCAAACGGGTCCGAGACTCTGGATCCAGATTGTTGGAGCTTTACAACCCGCACGGGACCCAAAAGCGCAGAAGTAGAAGGGGAGCCTAAAGGAAGCCAAAGATCATACGATCATCCGATTATACAAAAAGGAAAAATTGGATCCCTGACGTTGCGCGCCTAGAAACGGGTTAAGAAGGGTGGAAGAAACGTTCTTCCTGCTTCCCATTTTTACGCTCCGCGACACGGAGGGTATGTCATTAATCACGGCAAACAGGTACCTAGGAAGTGCACATGATCTCAAAGTGTGAGTTAGTGATGTAATGGGATCTTTATTCTCATGGATTCAACCACGGGCTCGTCCAGCATGATTAACGGTAGGGCCAAAGCCCCTCAATCATGGCCTTTGCGTCTTCCTAATCAAGGCAAAAAGAATATCGCGGGACTGATCACTGAGCCACAAGCATAGCCTGATGGCAATACCTCACTCCTATAGTGATCCCATGCCTGCTGTTCCTCCATGCATTCAAAGCTCCTCAGACAAACGCCCGGATAGACCAGATTCCGAATAGGTAGGGTAAGGCGGGGAGACCTCTGCTACGTTTAAGCTTTCAAGTTCGAAACCCTGCATCCGGCTCATTATGTCGAGGGATTTATTAACCATATGTTTTGCAATCAGTAAAGTTCCTAAACATGCCGTTTTTCATGTTCATCCACATGCCTCACCACGCAGTCAGGATGGCCGAGCGGTCCAAGGCGCTGCGTTCAGGTCGCAGTCCGGTTCTCCGG